TGCAAATTAGTTTCAAAGAACAGAATTTAAATAAGGATAAATCATGATGTTCATTTCAGATTTCAAGAAAACCGGGCTCCGTGCTCACGAAGATAGCCTGGGAGCGTGTTATTTTGGATGAAGCGCATCAAATCAAAAATAGGACATCATTAATTTCTAAAGCGTGCTGTAAAATTCCTGCTGTAGCTCGTTGGTGCCTTACAGGCACACCAATTCACAATAACTTATGGGATTTATATTCCCTGATCAGGTTCAAATGTTTTTCACATATTTCCATTTATTTTACTTCCGGATTGAATGCTTTTATGATGACTTCCTGTCCTTAGTTATCTTTATAATTCAAGATAATGCTCTAGTTTAACTTTAAAAATCGCTTCAGATTTCTGCGTGTGGTGCCCTTCGATGAGGAAGCTGTTTGGAAAGAATATATTCTATCAGCACGTATGTTGGTTTTTTCCGATTCTTATTTTTTTTCATTTGTATATTTTTTGTTTTATATTATCTTAGCTTATGTTTCAGAAATTTATTTCTAGGTTCGTCACAAAGATTAAATACCCTGGTAAAAGGCTTATTACTCAGACGAGAAAAGAATCAGTTGTGTACGGAAACAAATAAACCGATTGTATTTTTCTTAATAATTATTTTTTTGTACTGCAGAAATTAAATATATTAAGTAGAGGAAATTAGAACTGCATATGTGTTATGGAGAAAGTTAGAATTTTAAAGTGATAGTATACTAATTCTTTTGTCTAGAGACTTTGAAAGTGGATTGTTTACGTAGCAGTGTATGCTGGGTATCATGACCAAAGGTGCTTGGTGATCATGAGTTAGGAATAGCGGCAAAAACTATCTTGAAATAAATCAGTTTTCGAGAAACACTGTGCAAAAAAAGAAAAAAAAATTACGAAGAAAAAGATTTCAAACAACCTGTAATATTTAAACCTCTTTAACAATACTCTAAAGACAAAGTTAATCACTTGAGCTCAGACAATGCTAATAATTTGAAATATAAAGATAAGACTCGAAAATTATTTTATTGAATTGGCTTGATTCTTGTAGGTTGATCTAAAGTCAAGAAAGTATGAAGAAATTGTTATGAAATTTGAAGGCATGGAAAAGAAGGTTTATGATTACATGTTTCAGGTTTCAAGGTCAGTGTCCATTTAAAGAAGTTTTTCTTTTTTTTTTTGTATATTACTATTGCTGCTTATAATTTTGCAAAGTTATTCAAATTCTAATCGTAATTTATTTGATAGCTGCGGTAAAAAAATATATGTTTTTTCAAATAAGTTATAAACATATATATAGTTGAAGAATTTTTTCTTCCATTAACAAACAGCAGAATGACATAGGTTTTTTCATTTTCCAAAAATTGAAGGCAACAAGTAAAAGAACTAATCAAAACAAGAGAGGAAAAAGAACGGGATCTGTATGGTATTGGATGCACAAATGCTAGTTATAAACCAACGAAGAATCCATTTTCAGGTTTCTTCCATATAAACGATCTTGTGAAGAAACTAAAATCTAAATCATGAAGTTTAATCTACTTAGTGCCATATCTTTTTGAATTATATTGTTATATTTTATGTATCAAAGATTAGAAATATTATATTAACAGATATAACTGAGAGATGAAAGGGAAAAGATGTAGAGTTATATTTACAGTGTATAAGCAGTAACTTCATTTTTTTAAACAAATTAAATTAAATATTTGCACAGGAAATGAGTCTAGCAACAATGATACAAATCGTTTTGCGAAAGTTGGTTTAATTTTTATAGAATTCATTGTAGGTGGTCCACAAACGACTCGAAACAACAATAATTTTCAAGCAATGACTTGTGTACTAACGTTATTAATGCGATTACGACAAGCCTGTGTGCATTTTGCATTAATAAACCAGGTACTGCTTAATCACTTAGATCTTCTTGAAAAATCTGTTTGTAATATTGAAACAAGTAAATAATCATTTTCGTATTTTAACGGAATATTCCTAGGCAGTCGATATGGAAGCCCTCCAGATGTTAGGCGTTGAAGAGGATGAAGATGCTGGGATGTTGTCAAAGTGTTTTTCGAATATATCGCTTTTGGATGAAAAAGCTCTTACCGAGAAGTTACTGGGTGAGGACGGGAATAAACAAATGGAACAGCTGTTCCAGAAAACTTTTATTTCAACAAAGGTAGTTCTTCAGATGTTACATTCATGTTTCAGATAGCGTAAAAGTTTACATCGTTCGATGCTGTAATCCATGACTGCAATTTGAATTAATCAGTTTTTAGATTGAGTGTTTTTTCTCCTGTATTTTTTTTAGTCCCCCTTTTTAATTCTGAAATTTATTAAAATCTTGACCTTTTTATTTTCAGATCAAGAAATTATTTGAACAAGTGGACTATGCTCTTTCTTGTGGCGATAAGTGGTAATATTTACATGGTATTTTCGAAATTTATACCTACAACTTATAGAGTATTTAGTGCTACTATGTTTGATTAACTACGTTCCTGCTTTTCCAATCAATCTGTTATTGTCTTATATGGGAGTCTGTTATAATTTTTAGTAATTGCTCACAAGATCTTTGCAACAAAAATTTATACGTCTTTATATGACCACTGTGATATTTGATATCTTTCAGTGTTATTGTAAGTCAATGGACCAGTCTTTTGAACATTCTGGAGTATCATTTGGAACGGAAAAAAATTTTGTATACATCTATTAATGGGAAAGTTTCGAGTAGTGACAGGTCATTCGTATCGTTGTTCTCTTATTTCCTTCTTTCTTTAAGTTTCATTTTCTAATAATATGGAAAAAGAAACTGTGGTACAATTTTTATATCAAGAATAGATGCTTCATCAATTTATAGCATTTTTTTAGCGTGTTTTAAAAATTTTGCATATCATTATGGTCTTGTTTTTTATTTCCTCAATATCTCATTATATACTCTTGCATCAAACTTCTTCTCTATCGCATATATTTAAAAGACAATTAGAAGTGTTTCAGGCAAAATAGAGCTAATAGCTTTAATATGATGGATAGTGGACCTCATGTTATGCTGTTGTCATTGACAGCCGGCGGAGTGGGGTTGAATTTAGTCGGTGGTAATCATCTGTTTCTCGTTGATTTGCACTGGAACCCTGCCCTCGAGCAACAAGCCTGTGATCGTATTTATAGAATTGGTCAAACGAAGAATGTTTTTATACACAAGTCTGGATTTCTCATAAGTTATCACCAACACTCAATAAGATTTAAATGTTATGGATTTATTTTCAGGAAGTTCATATGCAGAATAAGATTAATAGTCACATGTAATTAACTATCGAGTATTTTCATGGATTATTAAATTATATTTTTTCAAAATTTAAGTCAAAGTTTTCATAATTGATCTTGTGGAATTAATACAAACTTCGGAGTATTGTATTAAAAAAGACTTTTTATAGGCTGGTTTGTTTGGAAACAATCGAAGAGCGTGTTTTGGCATTACAGCGAATAAAGCAAACTTTAGCAAAAGATGTTCTAGATGGGTAAGTTTTATATTGGATGATAGCTGAGGCTTCGTTGAGATTATTGTTTGGAAGCTTTTTTAGTTGGATTTTTTCCTTGGGGAAGTGTGCTACTAAACTTAAAAAATCCAGGATTTTTGATGCACCATATTTTTTCTGCAGTTATCTTCGTTTCCGTTGTTGAAGAGTTATTTTTTGCTCGTTCTCAGATGATGTAAAATTTTCCACTTTTGGAAGGGCTGAATGATTTTTTAAATCTGGACATAGTGCGTTGTAAATGTTTTTTTCTTTTTTTGCATTAACCGAAGTTAATAAATTGTCGTTGTTTGTTTTGATTTAAAATTTATCAGTTATATATATATATATATTTACCTTTTCAAAAAAAAAAGAAAAACACTGGAGCATTTAAATTCTCAAAAAATCTTTTTGAACGATTTCAGAGTTGCTTCAAAGAAACTCAGTAAATTAACGATTGCTGATCTGAAATACTTATTCGATCTGGGTCGTCCACGTAATGATTTAGCTAATTTTGCTGATACCGCTTGTTCGTCGAAATTCTTCCCAGCAACTATTTCTAACACTAATACAGGATCTTTTGATACTCTTGCAACAGTAAGAAAACCCGGGTCTCTTGTACAGGAAACTGTTCTAGTACAACCGAATAGTTAAGTTTGTCTTGAAGTTTATGTTTTTCATTACACAGTTTCAAATTTTTCTGCATATGCTATATATGAAACAAAAAATTATGTAATCTTTTCGTTTAGATCAGAATTCACATTGTGGGAGTGTTATGTATTGAAAACTTGATTCAAATTATAATGGCAGCTATAATCGAAGTAGTTTATTCCCAAACTAACTTTTCTTGCGTTCATTTCACTTTTTTTATTCCTTCTTTCAGTGATGTATTTTATGCATTCGTCCTTTTTTGTTTACTATATAGATCTGTAGTGCATAAAATGCTACAATTAAAAAATAGTATGTGTGTCAATATGAAAAGGTGCTCGACCTGATATTTAAGTCTTGAACAGGAGCAGAAAAAACGGTTTTCGGAGCTCCTTCGGGAGGAATTAAAATGTCCCGTCAATTATTACGACTGGGAGTTGTTATATACTGTTTTTATAAATGATATTTTTGTGCGGCTTGGTTTCAGTTTAAATTACCTTAACTTCTGGTTGAAACTTTAACTAAGCATAATTTTCTTGTTGGGTCTCTCACAGTTTCAAGCGATATAACCCATAGAAGCTTCTTCATATCAAATAAGATATAAAATTTCCTTAACTCGGCGTTCTTAATGTATTTCCTTTGAGATGATCTTAAAGTTTTAATTCATAAATTGGAATTTGTTGTGGTTAATAAAAGCTGCATTCTATTTGTTGCGACATAGGGAAGGTTTTATGATTTTGTGCGAAGCTTTTCAGGTGTTCTATCTTACATAACTTTATTTGGGTAGCTATCTCTTAGAGGAAGCGGCAAATATGCCAAACTTATAAAAACATTAACGTGCAGTATGAAACGAAAAGAGCACAATATAACGCAACTAATTCGTTATGCTGAATCGCTAGATTCAAAGGTATCCGAAGATTCTCTGGAAGTACTACAAGGGTTGATCAATCAAGGTATTACTTCTTGTTAACTTGATTGAACGAGGATTTAACAATGAGTACGAAGTAATTCGCGTAGGAATAGTTTTAGACTAATTTTGGTGTATCAGCTTTAGTAGTAGTAATACTGCAGAATGGCAGGGTGATATGACTAATCAGTGCATAAAGCCAATGGATTTAATAGTAATATGGTTAATTGTTATGATTTTATAAAAAGTTAATCAGATCGGATTACTTTGATATACTTTTATTTCCATCAATGTTTATTTTGTTTCGTAGTATACCATAACTTCTGTGCAAAAAATACGCGGAGCAGAAGAGTAGAACACTAAACGCAATGTGTATCAAAATTGATTATATGTAAAAAGAGTCTAATGTCATTTCTGTTCCAGGAGAAGGTATTGGTCAGTTAGTAACTTGCTATATTCACAGTCGGTCGTCCTTGGCGGTGGAACTGCTTTGTAATGTTAAGGAGCCTTATGATACGGTAAATTTAATTTTTTCAATGTGAATATAATTAAATAAGGAAATTAAACGAACATACAATTTAATCATTTTTTTTGTATGCTGAAACTATAACCTATGTAATATTAGGATTACAGGAATTGTGCAGTAGAATTCAGGATTTTTTGGCCAAAAATACGCTAGCTACGCTTACACTTCTTGGACAGTTAATACAAAAGACCCCAAGTTGGTTACCAAAGCTTGCTGAGCACTCACTTTTTGATCATATCTTGAAGTTTATTCGGGTCAGGTTTTTTATTGTTTTCTTTTGATAAAGAAATGAGCACTATACCCGAGATCTGTTAGGAAGTATACAATTGGTTAAGTACAATTATGATTATATTTCGATACCTTAGGTTTGAGCAAAGGACTTTCAAATCTAAATCGTTTATAACTCTAGCAGCTCTGAATATTATATATATATATCCTGTAATACGCTTCATTACTTGAGAAATTGTTTGAAAAATATATATTTATATTTATTTATTTATTACTTTTGCAGCCATCTGAGAACATTGTTGTGGTCGTTTCTGCGATCCTTATCGTATCGTCTTTACTTCCACATTTTGCTGCTCCTAAAAAATCGATATTGCTAAACTTATTTCGACTATTAATTATGTCCTGCAATATGCTTTATAACTTCAAGAAATTATTTGATCAGCAGAAATCAGATATCATTGAAGGAATATATGTATCACATCTGTATAGTGCAATAATCCAGTATTTTATTGTTTTGTATGGGATTTATCCTGCGACTTTGGTAGAGTACTTAAGGTAGGCATTATCTGAATTACTTTATCAAAATGATTTGCCATGTTTTTCTTTGAAGGCAGTTATTGACAACGATTAAATTTTTATACTGGATGGATGATCATAGGGCTTAGGAATGCAGAAAAAAAAAAGAAAAAAAAAACAAAGAAAGAGAACAAAGAAAGAGAAAAAAGAAAAGAAACAAGAAAAAAAACAAAAAAAAAAAAAAAATGGCAGCATTAACTTTTATATATAGAATACAGTTCGAAGTATAGTATCCAGAACATTCTTTCTACCAAAATTTTTTTTTTCCAGAAGCCATGTAAATGTTACGGATGGTCGAGCAGTACATGTACTTAAAGCATTGTTTTCTGCTGTGAAATTCCATCCGAACATATTAAGTGTTACAGTTGAACAGGTGAATATTTTTGAGAATTAGTCTCGTTTGTAATAGTGGTATTGGCTAAAGAAACAGTTTAACATTTTTTTATTTTTATTTTTATCTGTTTTCAGATTTCAAACTTCAATTTCAATTCAACGTAAAATACTTTTATTCCTGCTCTTATTTTAGACTTGTTCCCACTGATCAAATAAAATTTCGATAAGCACTACTCACTATATTTATAGATGGATTAATGTTAGCCCACTGTATTATTAGCATACGGCACTTTCAAATCTATTTCATTTTGAAGGAATTAGATAGAAATCGTTGGAATCATCGTGAAGCGCACGATTTTTTAGCTGATTGTCGACAGGTACTCGTACGACCCGTCTTGCCAACAGTCGTTAAAGGTCCTTTACCTCTTGCTTAGAATATCTTTGTTTTATTACGAGGTATTACGCTTCTTTGCTTAATATCTTGCGTAATGAGTCCGAAGGAAAAAAAAAAAAAACGTATTTTCTGCTTTTCTTCTTTTTTTATTCTTTCGGCTTCATCAGTTTTTTTTTTTCGGAATTTATTCATTTGAAACACTTCAATCTTTCAGTTGGTAAATTAATTTCCTCGAATCACACACTGGAGACATCAAGTTCAACAATGTCCTATGTTTCGCAGCTGCCAGATTTGAATGACTTGTTTCCAACACAAACAGATTCGTCATCATCCAGTTAGTTTATTAAATTACAGTTCAGCGGTATTTCCGCCTTATTTTGACCAATCCTGCACAATTTGGTCATCAACTTTTTGCTGTTTCCCTCAACTTTCGATCCTTTCGGGATTTTTGTTACTTACCTTTTAGGAGAAAATATTCTCAGAAAACTAGCCTAAAATTAGGTGTCAATATATATCAAATTGTCAAATTTTCTTCCCTAGATTTATTGGTACATCCTTGAAATAAAGGTGATTAAAAAACTCCCATTTATCATCTCGTCTATTTTATTGATTGTTTTTATTACTTTATTTTGGAGAACTTAATAATTTAAAAAAGCTTGGTCCGTAATGATTTATTTAGGACTTTTGTAAAATAAAATAGCAAATGGTAGTGCTTATTTTCCAGATTATTGTTGATAAACTATATCACAAATGTTAAAATTTTTTTCTCTAGATTCGTTGGGTACATCTGTGGATCATTGGAATGAAGATGATGCATGGCTAGAATGTGGTAAAAGCGATTCGGATATTCTTCCGGAATCAAAATCTAGCTCAGTAGATAACCGTGTATCAAATATGGTGATAGGTTTTTCTGCAGGCGAGCTTTTAATTTCCAAAATTTTTAATCTTTATTTAGAACTGTAAGAAAAGCGTACATTTTCGATTGCATTTACAGCGAAGGATTTTTCTGGATTCTTTTCTGGATCTCACTATTTTTCAAGAATTGATAATTGCTTTACTTTTCATGTAAAGAATCACGACGAGCAATAACTGGCACAGCAGATTCGAAGCACATAAGACGATCCTCTTTAACACAGAAGATTAATGATTTTATTCGGAGACGTGTAAATTTTTTTATCTGTTTCATTTGGTAGTTTATCCTGACTTCTTTTTTAAAATTTTGATTTGTTCTGTTCAACATATGAATAGCGCTCAGTTCTTTAACGGAGAGATAAACATGATTTTAGGAATAAGTAGTTACAAATAAATCAATAATAATATATAATAATTCCAGAAGTCACGAACTTTGTCGGATAAACCGTCATTTCATAACTTATCAGTTCCTAGAACACTTCTGGTTACAGCAAGAGATGATTCCTTAGGTGGTGAACTAATTGAAGAAATTTTTGTACGTGAAGATATCCAGAAACGTAGTGATGAGGTAGTTTTTGTTCCTTACGGCTGCTTTAGTTTCCCAGAATCTTTACTTCAATTGATTAGAAAATCCCACATACGGTACTTCAGAAATTTCTAAAGTGTTTGATGGCTGTCGTTGACACATATGGTGAGATTCATTAAGATTTTTTTATTAGTTTAATTATAGACCGGACATATCGAACAGGGTGTGGATGCTCGAGAAATTTGTTCACCTTGCATTCCATTTTCATCAGTACAGCCTTCAGAAGATTCTTTTGCAAATACTCCTGCAACGATTGTACCCCTAGAAAACATGTGTCATCCACAATCTGAAGCATTTACTTCGGATGCTCTGGGGAATCATGATGTTGAAATTTCCTTATCAACGAACGCAACAAACACAGGTCTTATCAAAAGCTTTCAGCAGGGTGCTGATATTGATGATAATGCAGAAACCATTCGTTATCGAAAGGTTTTTTTTTTTTTTTCTTTACTACAATGCTAAAGTAAAATAGGTTGAGATTTTGAAATTCAAGTTAACGTTGAAGTTCGAATCATTTAGTCTTGAAATATGTTTATTATGTTTATTCTAGACTTTATTCAAGAAATATGTTTTTTTCTAGACTAAAGAATTTAAAATGAATGAAGCCGAAGAACCGAATGGAAGCATTTCGAATGACAGCGCGAATCGGTTTTCAGTGACTTCATTTTTTCGAAAAGTCAATCGCCAGCGATTTATAAATGGTTGCCCTCGTAAAAAAAATGAAATAATTCATTGTCTCGGTCATCTGAGGAACTTTGCGCAGACCCAGTTGTTAGTTTTGATTTGTTTGTCAATAAGGCATAATAGATATTGATACCGTGAATTATAACTATTTTGTAATCACAAATTTTAGCTAAGTTTCTTAGATCTGCCTTTATTTTTAGGCTTCGTTCTTTTTCCTGTTCCGATTTGTCGCATATTTTGGAATTTGATGATAAAGAAAAAATATACAATTTTAATGAATTAAAGCCAAGGCAGCTCATGACCACCAGAAATACTGAACTCTCCGTCGAGGATATTGAGGAGTTAATCGCTCAGAAATGTCCATATCTTCCATTTCTTCAAGCTCTTCCTTTTTCTCTGATTGGTTAGTTCGTTCCAATTTCTTTTACTATGAACAAAACACTTCAAGTCTTTAAAAATTAAGTTTTTTAACTATCACTCTCATAGATCATTGCTACAGAACATCACGTTTCTATGACGGAAGTGATGACAGCAAAATCTGACAGCTTATAAATAATTCATAGAAGATATTGAAAATTGGCATCGCTGGTTCAATTTTTAGTCTCACTTAATTAATCTAATTATTAAACGTGTAGCATTTTCAATTACAAGACTAGTTTCAATTTTATTTTTTCTGCTTAAATTGATAACAATAAATTGTCGAAATAAGACAAAATTTGTCACGGATTTAAATTTTGAAGATTTTTAACTGATTTGAAAAACTGAGCAAATAAATGAAGTTACTTTTGGTGCCGAACATCTGTGGCCGTAACTTACTGAATGTTTTCAGGATGACATGTCCTAAATTCTAGTGAATACGATATACAAAGTTTTTAAGATGAAGAAAGTCTGAATGAGGAATTAAAATGTGAACATGAACGCACATATCAGAATTATATAGAAGCAAGTGCCGACTATCATACATGCTTGAAACAGCTTGGCTTAGCCGATCGTTTGCCAGCAATAATTTATGATGATATGTCCGAACAGCTTAAGGGCCTTTCGACTGAAACTCAAGTTTTTTTTTTTTTTTTTTACTTAATAACTTCGTGGAAATGAAAAGAAAGACGCATTCATTTTAGTTATTATTGTAACGCATTTTTATGTTACTTTCATTCTCAATAATAAGTGCTATAAGTGTTTTAATAGAATTAAGTGGAATATGAATTTCACTTAAATTTACTACTCATATGAGAACAGTTTTCTTTTCAGATAAAAGTGCTAAATGTCCGTTTAGCACTTGTTAATCAGCATTTGCTCTATGAACGCTGTGGAAGACTGCTTCATGCCGAACGAAATCGTCGACTTTTCGGTAAGGAAAACAGTGTCTTGCAGCAATTAAGTTTTCATTAACAATAAGACTTGAAAGTTGTGAAGCGAAGACATATTTTGAAGACTACATACACAATAATTCTTGACGAAGTCTCAATGTATTTTTCAGTACAATACACAAATGAAAATTTTCATGATATTGACGATAAAGCACCTCCGAAACAAATTATTTTTCTAAATCCTTTCAGGTCGTTTGAAACAACAGAAATCATTGGAGTCAGAAAAAATATCACTCAGTATGGCTCTTCATAATGCAGAAATTGTAAGTTTTCGTAATATTTTAACAATTTTGTAATATTAATGATAAGAGAATTGCAGAACAGGTTATTTCGTCAGGTTTATTAAGGAGTAGCCTAGATCTACTTTTATCCTTATTTTTTGCTTTCACCATACCTGAAGCTTGTGATTTCCTAAAAAACTATGTTTTAGGAAAGAGAACAGCTAACAAGTGCTTTAACAGATCTTCGGAAGCGAAGCAATATAGAGCGCTCAAAACGGGGAGAAATTGAGAAGAGATATTGTGAAAAGATAAAAACTTACCGTAATGTAAGTTAATAATTTACTAAATATATTATTTGAAATATCTTTGTTAGATCTTTGCTTTTTTCATTTACTTCAGCATTTTGTTACATTACTTTGCTTTTCCATTCATCTGGATTTCTGAGTGAAAAAGAATTCTGAAAGTTTTTAACTAAGGAAGCTGATCATTATTTGACTCTTGTAACAAATTTGAAACGAAAAATGGAATCTATGGCTGAAAGCAACAATCATCGGCAGGTTGAGTTGGAAATGTATAAAAGAAGGTGTGATTTTCGTTTTTAATAAAAGCAGTTTTTGTCAGCAAAATCAACCCATACTCAATTAGGCTGATTCAAGAGTTGTTTTTTGATGTTTTTAGTTTTTTTTTTTTTCTTATTTAGATGCTGAAGCTTGTTTTTCTCGTACGTTCAGTTAACTTTTTTCTACTTTTTAGGGCGATCGTAAAGAAACTTCTCAAGTTTATAATAATCTGTATAGTCAGATTATAATTATCATCTCTTACTATTATCTGACCTTTTTTCAATCATTATTTGCCTTGAGTCTTCCAAAAAATATATGCAAAGTTTGAATTTTTATCATTCGAACTCCACTCAAGTTAATTCAGTGTTCATTTCCAAGTTTCATAAAAGTAGCCATATGTTTTAGTTTTCTATCGTCAAAAAATTCGATCGATTTGAAGAAAATAATATTAAAAGAAAAAAATGAAAATGAAAGTTTGGTATCACAAAGTCAAATTTCACGCTATCGAACTTGTTTGCTTACTTAAATGAAATTTTCGAAATCTATAATTTTTAGTGATTTTGTAGTACAACTTGCATACGACCTCTTCACTTATCATTTTACATCCACTTTGCATAATTCTGTCTCTCTCTCTCTCTCTCTCTCTCCCTCTATCTACCGATTTATAATCTATCTATATATGCATAAAGAAAAAATGGAAGGGAAACTTTTTGATGTTTATAGCACTTTTTATTTCGAATTTGCAAAAAATTGCTTAATGATATCAGCGTACGAATTAGGAATTTGAAATCCCGTTTGATACATATACTATAAAAAGCTGTCAAGCTATTATCTACTTATATTTTGTCAACTCTGTGCTTTTTAAATGCAAATTTAGTTGATTTTGTGATTATTCGATAAGCTACCTTGTTAAGGATGATATGATAGGAAAGCTGATGAAACATACGCAACTTTTGATTTGAAATTTTTTATTTACTATATTAAAGATCGGAGGACATGGAAATGAAGTTACTGTTTGCGGAATCAAAACTGGAAGAAACTGAGACTTTGAAAATAGAACTCAAAAGTGCTCATCAAATTAATCAACAGCTGAGAGATGAAGTCTCGCTGGTTATTCTTAATTTCTTTTGTTATTTTAAAGTCCCAAAAATTGGAATTCTTTATAGCTATATGGGAAAAAAATTTTTGACCACTCAGTCAGTTTTATGAAAACTGTTAATGTTTGACTGTGACATTGAAATCATGGAACTGATTTTACATATTTTAATTTTTATCTCATGAATTATAGGTTGAAGCGTTGCTATATGCTTAGTGATGCTGCTTATTTTCAGCTTCAAAAACGGCTGGAAGAAGACGGTTCTAGATCAAAGTCACGGTTTAGGTCAATGGAACTTGACACTTCACAAATGCTAGCTGAGGTATATTCCTTTATATTTTTAATTTTTCATGCGGTTCTAAAACAAATATATGCAATATGTTATGCTGAACTTATTGATAATCGACTTTTAATTTATGTTATTCTCTTGAAATTTAGTCCTATCGACTTCAAAATACATAAACTTAAATATCCACAATTCTGAAAGTTAGCAAGCATTTCAAGGTAGTCCGACTGAAGAAATTATTGGTACAGGAAGAAAGAGCGAAAGAATCTGCAAAGGCTAAAGCTCGAAAGTTCGAAGATGAGTTAATGATTGAAAGGAGGCGCTGTACAGAATTTAGCGCTGTTTTTGAAAGAGCCAAAAAGGTTTTTTTTTTTTCTTTCCTTAATTTTGGTATCGTTTTTTATCTTTTTGTCATAAGTAATGTGTTGCTTTTTCTTTCGTACAAAATATTATTAGAAAATTGCGGAATGTTAGAGTTTAATGGTCTGTGAACGGTAATCATTAACCTATTGTTAACATTACAACTGTGATCACTTTTAAATAGTCCTGTTTTCTCACCTGTTTTCGTAAAATATATCTATTTTCTATTTTTCTCGGTAATAGTTCAGATAATCATTTTAAATCTCTTATCAAATTATTTTTCGAAACAGTTAAATTCTCAACAATGTGAAGCAGCACAACACAAATATCAATCTCTTCTGTCTGTTTGTCAGAAACAACAGTCACATATTCTTGATCTGTATGCTAGAATTGAGGTAATCTCATGTTTTTGAAGAAAAAAATTTGAATATAAAATTGCTCCATCTTTTCATTTTCTTTCTAAGAAGGGAGTTTTTGTTGTAACTTATAAATTTAAAATTCTAATAGGTTTTATAACTCTAGGAAATCGTGGCATTATCAAATTCCGAGAGACTAGTAAACATCGAGCCGCAGATGTTGTTTCCAAGAAGTTCTCTGAGTGAAATGTGTTTTTTGAATGGCAGTTCACAGTAAGTTGTAGATATTTGCCTACGATTTTTTTTTTTCTTTTTTCTTTTCTTTTCTATGTTCCTAAGCAGTTTTACTGATAATTATCAATCATTTCCAGTTGCAGGGGAAGTTTTTTTCCTTCTGAATTATTCGATGAAGAAAATGAAAATGATAAAGATAGCAGTGATATATGCGTGCGTGATGATAATCCTGTTGTGTCATTATCTAAGAATGATCCCAAAGGTGGAGTTTTATAGCTTTCTTCTTGAAGTTACGAAATTATTTTGATATTGAAATGTAAGCTAAGAAGGGAAGTGCTGTTTTTAGGAAAGTTGCATAGATAGAACTATGATTTACTTTAATAACTAAAGCAGTTATATTTGATTAAAGTGCTCCTGCATATATTGCATGTTTATTTTTAATTTACTTTTTTATGCTCATTATTTTTTACAAGTACAAAATTCTTTACTATATGCATGACGAATTTTTCACAATAATTTTATTGAAATTTGGACAAGTTGGGAAAGATTTTTTTCTTGTTATATATTGAATGATGAATAGTTTGTTTGATCACGCGGCCTTCAAAAAAATTTTCTGACTTTTAACTGTTTGAAAATATATCTCATGATTCTAAATTGTAAAAGGTGTAAGTTGATAAAAGTCTGATTTTTCAAGTTATGTTACACAAAGTAATATTGCTACGCAGGAAAGAGGTGCTGTGGAGGTATCTTTGTTTCTTGTTTTCATATGTTATATGAACTCTGTTTCCATCATGCTACTTGTTCTTGAAATAAGTAACTATAAGTTATCAAACAATTAATTTGGTAAAAATTCAAAAAAAAAAAAAAGCATCTGATCACCTGTCCAGTTTTTTGACTTGATTGTTTGACAGAAAAACGCCTAAATTATTAGGTTAAACGAATAAAACGAAGTATTGTATCAATGCAATTTACTAAAAAAAATTTTTGCGATTTAGAATTCTAATAAAAGTTCATGGAAACATAAGCATCTACAATTAATTATTTGAAACCGTAATGATGAGTTATAAAGAAATATCAAATGTGTAAATAGTCTCACTTAAAATGATCAAAAAAGGAGTCAGTTGTTGGTGGTGGGAGTGATGTTGTTTTTCAATTGCAATTTATGTTTAACATTTTAAGGCGAAGCACAATTCATTATTTTGCACACATACACTCATTTGCTCTTAATTGGGTGGGTACGTCGTTTTTTTTTTTTTTAATTTTGTTTTGGAGAATGTTGAAAAACAGTGAATTCTTTATTAAAAAAGTAAGTAATTTCCGATCTAGGTAGACTTGTTCTGGTTATATAGTTGCAGATTGTGAAAAGGCATTTTTTTAAATATTATTCTAAATTTCGAACATCTTTTGCTGTCTGGAATATTTGTTTGAATAATATTTGACTGAGTAGCAAAATCTTTAACTGGTATGATTGAAAATTAGAAGAGTTAACAATAAATGAACTTTTCAAAATAATAAGGATTGAGAAAACTTAAATCATGAAATATCATTGGAACTTTTTTTTTTTTTTGTCTTTCAAAAAATCTTAGCAGAAATTTTAGAAGTGTTTATGGCTAAAGAAATGAAATTGTTCGTTTAAATCAGAGATGTTATCATTTTTGCTCTCTTTGCTACAATTCATTTACCTTCAACCGCTCTTTTCTTCACCAATCTGTCGTAGAGGATTGACAAGGACAACTATTCCTGGTATTTACAACTACTATGTTTATTTAATTATACTTTAAATCGATTCACTTTTTCTTCATTTTAATCTAAAATAGCTCCGAACATCGATTAACTGTTTATCTCAAAAATATATTTTCCTTTAAAATGTGACAAAAAAAAAAAAAATACTAAAAGACTAAAGAATGGAATTCATCAAGTGTAACATCAACATGCGATAAAATAAATGATTTCCGACATAGAAAAAGCAATCGAGTGAAATAGTATTAAGAAGTTAAAAAGTCCATCACGAAATTTTCAGTTATTTTTACTTGGCATTATGAGAATCTGTTAATTATAAATATTTATTTTATTAACAATTGATAATACTTTCGAGAAATTAGGGAAAAAAAATCAAATTTCTATGCTAAGGATGAAGATAGTTAGTTCCTAGATTTGTTTGACATCGATTATTTTGATTATTCGAAAATAACTAGAAAATCTTTCTCAATTATTTCTACTAAATTCCATCTATAAGATTTTATTTTCGCAGATTATTCTTATTTTCCATAACGCAGGTTATATGATGATTTACACAAAAGATATATCTTTATGAAATTTTTCAAAAAATATGAAATTTATACTAAAACTTTAAAAATAAGAAATATTTCAAATATGAAACTAAATGTTAAATGTCAGAAAACATGAACCTTGCGCATCACACATATATTACTCAAAAATTACTCTCCTAAAAAGTAATAATGTACTACACATGCATGCTTTATTTAGATTACTTTTTGTTTTTTTTTTTTTTTTTTTCAATTAAAAATTTTTTAGTTCAGTAATATTTGGCAGTTTTTCTTAAAAATTTTAATAATTATTAGAAGAAACTACAAATAATGGTCGATTAGAAGGCAAAATCATTCATTATCGCATTGCTCATTATTCACGTAAAGAATTACATCAAAATATGGATGAAATGAAGCTTAAAGAATATGTTGACAATGCTTTACGCAAAGCTATCAAAGTATGCTATTAGAATGCACACACGGAGAGAGAGAGAGAGAGAGAGAGGAAAAATTTCAAAATTTTTGAAAATTATGGAACGATAAAGAAGAGACTCATTCTATTTGTTAATCATTTTTTTAAGATTAGATAAATGATAAAATAAAATGCAATAGAAATTCATTTCAAATCTAATAAAATTAGTTGAGACAGAAAGAGAGAGGAGGAGAGAGAGAGGAAAAAAAGAAAGATATATTTACTAAATAGTGAATTTGATCATTCAAAATTGTCATAGTTGAATAGTTGTACTGTTATCAATGTTATCATTAATCAGAATATATATATTTTAGTTATGGGAGGATGTCATTAATGTTCAATTCATTGAATTACCTCATACAAAAGCAAATATTGAGGTAATATTTACGACATTTTATCATGGTGATGAATATCCATTTGATGGAAAAGGAAATGAATTAGCACATACATTTTATCCAAATGATATCATATGGCATGGACAAATTCATATTGATGATAGTGAACCATGGTTTGTTCATACGGTCTTTTAGCTTTATGTAAAATAGTAAAATTACTTTTACAATTAAACGTCTCATCTGAAAATTGAATGATTGGAGTGAAATAATGGTTTTGTCTAAATTTAATTTTTTCTTTCATATCTCAAAGTTAGAAAATTTCAGAATTGATTCAAAAAAACAAACAAAAGATAATCTTATAGAATATAAATGATAAGCTTACTTCGTTATATGATATAATTCCTATTTTTAAAGGGGTCCAAGTGGCAGAAACTTAAATTGGGTGATGGCACATGAAGTAGGCCATGCATTAGGCCTTGTACATATAAACGATGATGAATCATTGATGACATCACATTATCAAGGCTTCCAACAAGCGATACCAAAATTGCATCCTTGCGATATTGTTGCGATACAGTCATTGTATGGTTGGTTCGTTCTGTAATTGCATATTTACTTCTATGTAATTTTTAGATGAAATAAATTATATAAAATTATAACAATTTGAGCAACGAAGCATTTGATCTTTGTTCATTTCATGCAGAGAAAGTTTATTTCTTTTCTTTTTTCTTTCATCCATTCTCAACTTCTCTACAGAAATTTCACTTAAAATAGAACAGGACCATAGAGGATAAATTAAGTAACTATAAAGGAAGAAGAGACAGAACGAAATTTAAAAAAATAATATCTAGCAAATTTTCACTTATATTAAATTTGAGGAAATAAATTTAAATTCTGATTTAGTTACAAATGTTTTCTTTATATCTATGATTAGACAAATATATTTCAAATTTTCCAGGTAAAAAAATTACTGAAAAAAAATTCTATTACCGGAAATAAACTGGTCGACAAGCCTTTTCAACATAATTATTCTGATATATTTGCTTCCTTGAATAATAATACTATCATCTTAAGGATAGTAAACTTTGTGAAGTTCACTTTCATTAATGGTTTACTGGATTAGATCTCTTCACGATAATAACCAAATATCTATTTACTGATTGAAGTGCAATAAAAAGTAATTACTGTCAATAGGAAAATAATATTTTGTTTTGAGACCTAATATAAATAAGTGGTACTTTAATAGTTGATGACCTTTCGGAATTTAAAAAACTTACTGATTTTATCGATTATAAATTGGAAAGTGAGAGTACTTGTGATTTTTGAATTTCTCAACCGTACCGTTAATTTATATTACCTCGAAATATTACTATTTCATTGACAACTTCATAATCTTAATTGATGCTACAATTACATACACTTCCAACCGTTCGTAAAGGTTAGCTAGTAAATCTTTCTTGTCAAAAACATTCCTTAAATGACTTCAATTTCTAGAAACTGATAAAACTATTTGAAGCGAAATACGACGCAAAAGACATATGCCAAGAGCAACACTCCATTTTCTTACTAAACTTCATTGAATACCACAAGTCATTAACTACTCTCACGATTGAATATTGCTCTTCTACCTTTATTATCTCGGCAGACTAGTTACCTGTATTAATTTAACTGCATTTTGTAAATCTAGTTATAATGTGTAAAATGCTAGCTGCAGAATGTATGTACACTAATTTGGTAATAAGATCAGAGATTGGTCAAAGCTTTTAAATGTATGAATCCAGTAGTTAAAGTTCATCGTTAAATTTCGTAACATATCAAGTTCAACAAAGAAAGGCAAATGTGCAAGACATTAAAAGCTGGTCAAGAAAAATAATCAGTGTTCAACCTCAGAACGCTCCATTTTCTTCCAGAAATTATTTGCTTCTAGATCGCATTACTGAATAAATACTACCTAAAAATATGCTGATACTTAATACATTCATTACTCTGCTCTTTGCATGAAATATGCATGGAATCTTTCCTCTTTTTTTAATGAGATTTAAAAAAAAAACGAAATAATATTAAAAAGTATGCATAATTACGGCCGCTAAAGGTCAAATCATTTCACCCTTATTCATAAATTAATTCTGACTTTGCTTTAATTACGAAAGGACTGAAAAACTCAAACAATTTTTATTTTCATGTTTCATGCAAAGAGCAGAGTGAAAATCATCCAAAACACTGTTATCTAAATCAAATATTTTTTTCAAACAAAATTAAAATATTCAGGGACTTAAAAAATTCAGATGATAGAGACCCGTGTACTATTTCTCAAAAGGAATCTACTTCGACAATGAAGTGAAATAAAGATTTTAACACCTCTTCAGTTCCACGGAGTTCAAACAATCAAAAAATGTAAAAATAAATTAATCAAATTGATTCATCCTTTCCTAAGCCATAAATCATATATCACATGGAATAAGAAAGGACGAGAAAACGAAACTGAATTACATACGATTATTATACAAAGTAACTGGGAAAGATCGGCAAAATATCGTGCTAAATAAGAATATGAAACACCACGAATCCTTGACGATTAATAGTGAATACAAAAGCACCTCTAGAAAGTAAATATTTTTTGAAGTGAAAATACAAAACATAATTCAAAAAAATTCGGCTTCACTGCATCCCTGATTCCAAATTATTTATTCTAGAGTTCAATCTATTTCGAATTTGGAACACACGCTCAATAGCCTGCAAAAGTGGAATATAGCGAATAACTTCTCTAAATTTTTATTTTCGTCATTTCATTTTGAAAATATTTTAAATTTAAGCGATCATTTTCAAATCTGAATGTTCATGCCGAACAAATATTTCCTACCTTAAAAAAAAAAATTATCCTAACAGGTTTGATTCTAACTAGCATGCAATTCCTCATTTGTTCCAATGAAAATCAAGATTTGATTTTCGGGAAAAATGTTTTGTAATGAAGCTTACTCCTTTGAAACACTGGAAGTTATAGTCAATGACGCCCTGCTTCTCGAAATTCTCAGAGCGTATAATACAAACAAGGGCAAGGAACATATTAACCTGTAATCTCATTTTTTATATGAATAATGATAAAAATACCTTGCGATAAGATGAATTTTCTCTAATTATATTGCGATAAGGACTTTTTTTATTTGGACAAAGAATGTGGATATCAGAGGAATACCTGTCGTAAGAATAGCACTTGGTCAGTTCGCAAATGTATGACCGCAGATGACTGAGAATCAAATACCCCACATGATGACTCATCTGAACATCTGCAAGAATAGTTTTCTTTTTAATACACGAGAACTACTCTTCAGCAAAAACTTACTTTCAATCAAGGACGGCAGTAAAACGCTCACCCATATATAGAAGATATATCAATGGTCACGTCAATCATATCACAGCAAAGTTCGTATGTTGCCATATCAACCGGAGCTGAGTCAGTTGCTATATATATTTTGCTTGCCACATCAAAAAGAAATGCTTTTTCAACATTTGAACCCTATAATATAATTCTGTTTCTGAATAAACTATCAACATCTATAAAAGACAGACAAAAAAATATCTCGTAATATGTAATATATAATCGCAATACATAAATTTAGCTAGTCGATGTAATAGCTGAATTCTGGCTTACTACAAAAACTTTGTGCAACATCTTTGGTGAAAAGCGCTATTTAAAGATAAATTAATTCAATTTTAGGAAGAAGCCTGGAATAAACTTGTACTAGTGTCTAAAAAGAATAAATTACTGGAGAGGACAATATCTACAACTTTCCTAAACAACACATCACCGAATAATCCGGGTAACGGAACAACCTCCCAAAAAGTGAAAGAATACTTGCCTGATTGAAAATGTCAAGCAGTCGTTCAAGAATTGACAACTGCTTTATAAGCTTTTGCACAACTTTACTAAATGCCTCGAATATTGAGTGATCATAAATAGAAGTCAGGTGATACCTGAAATAGATACGACGGTTTGATTCTGTGTTAAATGTGCACACTGGTCAACAAAAATACTAAAAATTATTAAGTTAATAAACTTATAAACATAACTTTACTACAGCTCGAATAAGTTTATTAACTTTAAGTTAGTAAACGTTTACATTTAAATACGAAAAATAATTGGAAAAGATTTATATTCCAAAACACACGTTACATGAACTTTATCAAGGCCATCATCCTGAAGATCATCTTGTACACGTTGAAATATATCACGCTGTGCTTCTAATTTGACCTCTTCATTTAGACCATCCACTTTGTGGATAAATACCTAAAAATTGGTTAAATGTGAGTTGTAAAAACATATTTTCAGGAATATGTATCTAATAAACACCAAAATTCTCAAATTTGCATTCATGAATAAACACATTCAAGTTAAAAATAAAGAATAATGATTCAACTCTAAAAGATTCGCGATAGTTTTTCGTGATAGCTTATCTGAGAAATTGCCGATATTTTCGCTTTATATATTTGTAAGATAATATAAATTTAACAACAAAACGTTATTAGTTTTTCATCCAATAAACTTGATCAATTTCCATACTTTTCATTTTCAAATACTGCTCCTTTTGTTGAATAGATTATCTACTTTTAACAAGTCAAAAGCAGAGACATTTCTTGAAATCATTCCAAACATTCCAAAACTTCTAATGCTCAAATACATACCTAACCAAAATGTTAAATAAGCTTTAGCAACTTAAACTATCGCAATCCAACTATAGGCAGCAATCAGTAAGCCCAAAATTCTGGAATAAATGGCTCACTTCAAATCTAATTTTGTCGTTAATTTCGAATGCTTTTTTGAAATATTCAACCATTTTTTTCAGCGCTTCAGAGTAATCATCCTGGAAATCTGTCTGTATTGTTTCTGCAGAAACTAATGAACTAGAAACTGTTAACCAATACTTGGATTTAAAAATGTAACTTATTGAAAAAGTTCCATATTACAGCAATACAACGAATGTTCGAACAGTTAAAAGCCGTATTATATAACAAACTTGAGCATCAATGACAAAAAGCAGTGCACCGCAGCGGGCAAATGTATCGTGAGGATTCATCGCATTATCAAAAGGACTCATCTGACCCGGGAATTCGATTGCTTCAAAATTAATGAACGATCCTTTAACTGTTTCCGTCGTCACGCGTGGTGTACTCTCAACGAATAGTGTCTCATTCGGTGACATTTTATTGAAAACAACCTTTCGTATTGATGTTTTTCCGCTCCTAAAACTGTGCGTATTCAAGTAACAAAATGTGATTTCGATCATGTCTCTAGCTGATCTAAGCCTTCATATTCGTCCATCTCCTTATGATGCACGATATTTACAACACTGGAAGATTCATAATACTGATAAGATTCCACTGTAAACACTAAGTTGTAACCAATCATTTCCGGCTAATAATTCCGATATTTCAACAATGCAGAAACCTTTTCAATCCCATTAATACAATGGTTGGTTTTTGCGACTCGGATATTTCATCAGAATCATCCGCCCATCCATACTCAAATTCGCGGATGTCATCGTTCCACATTGTTCCACCTCGAAGAACAGACTCTCACATTATCTAAATCTTCTTCGTGTTCCTGGAAAAAAAAATAAAAGAGAAGAATGGACCAAAGTTAATCTTTGCTGTTTATTCTTCGAATCATAATATTTCCAGCAATATTATTTATTCCTGATATATTGGTATAGTTATATCAGGTTGACATCATCAGTTGATATGAACACTATCCACATCAATCTAAACCCCTGCTGCTAATCTAACATGGTACCACTTATGAAGGTTAGTCTCAAGCATAAGGCCTACCTGACAGGTGCATGTTTCCGGAATGTAAAAAGACAAGTCATCAAATCACTTCGGTCAACGAATTGAGCTGTTCAATTACTGGTTGGTACTCCTGAAAGTACCGTTGATTCGCTGTTTATTCATCAACCTAGGGCAAGTTACGATTACCTCTAGGAACTTTTCTGGACAGATCTTTTGCAATTAACTTAAGTAGAAATGTTACTTCATTAGAAATATTACTTCATCTGTTTCATTCCCTCCAGAAATTCTATGCAAAATGTTAACTATGTATGTAAAATATCGAACTATGTAACAACGAAATGGTTTGATCTGTAGGCGAAAAGTGCTCAAGCGTAAAAATGCTAGCATTTTATTTCGGATCTTCTACTAATGATAACTGAATATTGCCTAAAAAGTATCTCCCTAAGACACATTTAATAATGACTGTACTTTATAACTATTCGTTGCCTTAAAATTTTAATCTTTGAGTTCTAGTCCCATCTTTACTGCTAAAGCTTTCCTTAATGACAACATTTTATTGCAAATGATTCAAACAAAAATATGACAAATATAGCAAGGAATTTCAGACAAAAATCAAAACAGAAAGAAATTTTCGACAGGGAATTGTATCGAACAGCAAATTTATACTCTTTCTGTTCCCATCTTTCTTGCATTTGAAAATATATTATATATTTATCCCTAAACATACTGTGCATTATAACCTACTCCACCTTTAATTTTCTTTTGTAACTATACTGGATAAAATACAAATGAGCTCCTGTATTGCAGTCTCGTTTACCTCGGAAAAATTTGGAGCTTGGCTGTTCATCTTTTGTAAGTTAGATTAGTCATAAAACCTCTCTTAAAGAGAGATTTTTTTTTTAAAGAAACACAAAAGCCCATAATTACTACTATATAATATAGTACAAAATAAGTTTAGTACCTCAAATCACATTATTCTTCTTTCAGATAGCTGACACAGCTGGATAATTAGTCTATGTTAAATTAAGACTTTTCGATCAAGAAATTAAAAAAAAAAATCATTCATATTGGACAGTTCGAATTAGATAAAACCTTCTATTGAAGAAAAAATTTTGTCTGTAACGGAAACATAACACAACAATTGTAGGCACAAAAACTCACTGCGAACACTACTGTGTAAGGGAAAAAAAGTAGATAATTTTTTCCATATGAAAAAAGGACGCTATCGTGCATAAGAATGTTATTCAAAATCAATAACTTATAGCATATCATTATAAATAAAGCATACGGACAGAGATGGTTTGAACTGTTGGAGATGAGATCTCATTCATACTGTGAAGAACTTGTCAAATCTATAAAATTTGATCTTTCATTCATCATCTGGTCCAAATAATGTTGCGACAGGTTGAATATGTATCGGTACATCTCTGAGGAAACGATGACTGAGTGCTGCTTTTGAAGTAATCCGTTCTTCAGGTGGATATAGCAACATTAGCTGTAATTAACACCAATTTTATGAAATTATAAAGTGAAATAAGGCAGAAATAATAGAGACTATAAAGAAAAATAACTTAAGTCAAAGTAATTATTAGCATTAAAATTGAAGTCGTTAAAGCCTTCAAGGCGCTGGGAAATTTTTTTTTTATTTTTTTTAAAATACGGAAGAAATTTCTGGGAAGACGTTTCGCTCAAATGAAGTTAAGAATAAGGGATTATTTCTTTCCATAAATATCGTTTATGCCTTCAATCTGTACTTCGATTGAACCGTATATTTATTGCAACTTCTAAGATCTACATTAGATTATACATTCTTTGTCAGATTACATCTCAACTGCCTTAGAATAAAAATAGTGTAATTGCAATAATAGATTTGTGGTTTAAATAATTTTTACCGCAAGCAAATCTAGGCCATCACTATCTAGACCTGGCACATATTCCGCTAGGACGCATTCTGTCCATTGTGGGAAACTATCTTTGTAATCAATGCAATTTGCCAGACCAGGCCAAGTCTAAAACAGCTCATCTATAGGGCATGCATTCATCATATTTCCTACTAAAATGTGAATTTGAAAACAAATCAATTATTCGCATACTTGTCTTCCACAAAAAGTAAGCAATGCACAGTATAAAAGAATACATATAAACAAACGTGTCCTTTAATCCAACTCACTTTCACAGTAGGAGTTCCTAGAATCTGAAATATCTTAAGCAGTTGACTGATTTCAGATTCTGCGCGAAACAGCGGTTCCGAAGTAACAAGCTCAGCAAATATACAAGCCAAACTCCATATATCTACTGCTGTTGAATAAAATCTTGAACGGAGTAAAATTTCGGGTGCACGATACCACAAAGTTACAATCTGCAAAAAAACTTGACATCTGAAATCATTTCCAATTTGTGATACAAATAGGAAAATTTTAAAAATTAAGCTATTTTCAGAAAATGAATCCCTGGAACTCTATAGTATCTCCCTTTTAAACATATCCAAGCGATTGCAGAAGGCGAGCCACGGATTAAAACATGAGCATTGGTAACTAGAGCGTTTGCATTATTTTAAAAGACCTCGAATTTAAAGCCGTTATTAAATGTAAGAAGAAAGCTTTTTGATTCTGATAAACTTGAACATCAAATGATTTCGAACATCGAATCACATCAGATGATTATTATTTGAATAATTGAGAAGTGAAATTTATAAGCACATAAAAGATTATACCTCATGCGTATAACATCTTGAGGGTATTGTGAAGGAACGTGCAAGACCAAAATCAGCAATTTTTACAGTGCCATTTGCAGCAACTAAAATATTCTGAGGCTTCAAATCTCGATGCAACACACGATGTGTATGGCAAAGTGTAAGAGCTCGCAGCAACTGCCATAAAAAACTCTGAAAATTTCATTTTCTTATTTCTAAGATTTTCAAAAAAAGAAAAAAAAAATTATGACATTTTTGGATTTAAACTCAATGCTTGTAAGTAAAGTCAAAAAATCACAATTAGAAGTTATTTCTGACTTTAATGTTCTTGAAATAAAGCAATTTCAATAAGAATCTGCATTAAATTACTTTGATGTAAGGCATTGGAAAGGATTTGGGTCGCAATTTTTCAATAAGCATTTTCAAATCATAATCAAGATGTTCGAATATCAAATATAGTTTCCTGCACCCTGCAAAATAATATTGTATGTTGCCAATCAGTAATTTTATTTTAGTAAACAAATCAATAAGAAATGATATTTCTCCATTCAGTTGTAAGTATTCGTCTGCTACTAGATCAAATTTTGTACAAAAATAAATTAAATATCTAGTGTTAGCTGCTATTCGTCCACTGACCATCGTTTGGAAAAACATTATGAATTTTAACAATATTTGGATGGGTAAGTTCTTTTAAAATTGATACTTCCCGAAGACAAGTTCCAGGTACACCTTCTCGACTGAAAAAGAAAAAAATTCGACATTCTAATGAAATAATGCACAACAACAGTAGCTCAGTAAGTAGGATAAATGTTTTAAAAAATGAATTATGGAATAGAATATGGAATAAATGAATTTAAGTTATACCTGTCTAATTTGATCACTTTTATCGCAAAATGTGTCCGTTGTTGAATATCATATGCTTTATAGACAGTACCATATGTTCCTCCACCTATTAGCTGACAGTTTGTAAATCTGTATGGTCCAATAGCAAACGATGATAGTTCTTTATGATATTCATCTTTATCTACAGTTCGTGCCATCTTTTTATTTTCACAACAAAAAGTCGAATAATTGAAATTTTTTTTTGACTAAACCTTAAAATATTCAAAATTCGAATTAGATAATCTATAATCAAACAATTTGAACTAATTTTTTGACGTGAGAACGATCCTTTAATAGAGATATATTATTTTAATGTCAAAAACCTGTACAAAAACTACTCAAAAACTGGCATGCCCTACTGTTCTATCTATGATCCATAATGAGACACGAAAAGGATATCATAAATTAGAAAACATTGAGTGGAAAACAGAATAAAGACTGTCATAAGTCTGCTGCTTATAAAATGTGCAAAATTACTTCTTATCAGTCATACACAAAGAGACAATAAATTCAGTATAGTTTAGAAAAATAGAATACTCAAGAAAACAAATGATTGCTTTAATTAAAAAAGTAAAAAATAGAGTAATGTAATCTGATAATATTTATGATATTATAATGTGACCTTTCAGATAGATATGAAAAAACAGAAAAGGATATTACAGTTGAAAAGATGACAAAAAATGATAAATGAGCTGAAGGTATTCAATTATGTTAACACAAAGTAATGTGAATAAATCCGACAGTATTGGCAATTCACTTATAGGTTTACGAGTAAGCTAGAAATATTTCAACTGATTATCTTTGTTCATCTTCTATACAATCTATCCTATCTTCTATCAAAATATTCTTTTCTCTCTGAAGAAAGAGAGAGGTAGAGAGGAGGAAAGAGAGAGAGAGAGAGAGAGAGAGAGAGGGAGACTTTAAATGGAACTAAGAGAAAGGGAAGTTTTATCATGATTGTAGTGTTTATCGTTATAATTGAAGTACTATATTTGGAAATATCGAAACAACCACCTTGTGTTAGCACTTAAATGCTTTTGTGACGTAATGTAACGTGGTGTGACGTATTTTCTACCAATACGATAATGAAAATTTATATATGTTTTTTTCCCATTTATTCTTCTCAATGACTGCAGTGAATGAAGAAGACAAGATGAGTCTGAGAAGATTAGAAATTAACACATATTTATGCCATTTAGCAAATATGTTAAATTAGCTGGTTAGAGACTTAACGATGACTAAAATGGCCAGAACTTTGTGGTATATAATTATGCTAACCATAATTCCGATATCTCCAAAACAGTTTCCTCTCACAAACACTTAAGCTTGTTGTGTAGAATGACTGTACATATTTAGCTCATCTTATCTTATCTTACTCATCAATAATTCATAATAATTCTGCAAGATGCAATCATCAAATACAATTACTATAGCTAAATATAGTAATGATGAGAATAAGTTCAAATGTTCAAACACTCAGTTTATTAATTAAGCGCAAAAGAAAAAAGGCAACCTTAAAGTAATCCTTGTGAACATTATCAAACATAAATGTTCACTTTGTTTCTTCACGCATTTCTTCATTCATTCCAGCACTTTGTCTTTGTTAAGTAAACCCATTAATATTACAATTATTTAAATGATAGAAGGCTTCAATAGTCATTCACACTCTTAAAATGTTGATAGGCGGGAAAAGATAGCTTTAATCATTTAAATTTAAATTTTCGATTTCCATATCTGAGGGAGGATGCCAGTTTTTTTGCGCTGAGTGGTTTAAGAAGAAATGGGATTGAATGTCCTGACTAGTCTGATTGAGGACATTTCGAATTTCTGAGATTGTCACAGCAGCAAACTGGCATGGATTGATTTATGAAGTTTGATGGATTACCAGTAATGTATCCTTTATTTTCTTTTAGTCATATTGCTGATAATGTGTTATTAACAAATGATACAGTCTTGACTTTTTTTTTTTCAACTGTCACTCTAATATAGTTGTACTAGAGATTTGGAAGTTTGTATTTGTTCTGGATAGAATACACTATCCAAGTGCACTAATAATAAATATAACCTGTATGTATATAAATGATTTGCTATATAATAGTGTTGTGGAAAATATTAAAAGTTTTTCTTTGAGTTTTCTTTTTCTTTTTTTTAGTCATAGTCATTAAATTATTTTAATAATATGAACATTTTCCACAAAATATCTACTCATTTTAGGAAATATGATTGTATTTGTAGTTCATGAAATACTTCGATTGTATTTGTAATATACTTTGATTGTATTTCATGAAAAAAAAAAAAATGAAATACTTTGACTGTATTTGTAGTTCATGAAAAAAAAAAAAAATCCCATATTCTTTCTCTCTTTCCTCGTTTCCTCGTTATCATTATTTTTTGTGCAGTTCGCATGATGAGAGTTTCAGTAGCTCACTGGAAATGGCTTACGAAATTGCTGATTATGACCGAGAGAAAGAAAAAATATGGGATTTTCTAACTACTTTTTATCACGAAGAGGCTGATGGTATGAAATTATTTCCATACGATAAACAAATTGCTCGCCTTGCCGAACGTGAGCAGGTAATTTTCTAAATAATTTGATGTTGATATGGATAATAAAAGTAACGAATAGCTTAAAAGTAGTAGTAAGAATGATGTTGTTTATTATATTGATGATATCCATGATGGATGTGTTAAAGGAATTGGCTATATCATTAGGTGTAAAACTGCAAAATTTGCAAGCATTCATTAATCAGCAGTCTAATCGATTTTAAACTTTGTTTTGTAGAAATGGTCCCAATCTGATAGGCTCAGCTTTGAGACCTGACGTAAGGGCAATAATAGTAGCCTGACGTAAAGAGAATAATAGTAATACTGATAACACTAGTGATAGTGATCATCATAAATAGCCTACTTTTATCTCATAGCTCAAAAAGTTTCGTTAAAAGCTCTTACGTTATGGTAGCTAATTAATGCTCATAAATATTTTGTAGGTTGGATTGTATATCAACATGGATGATGTGAATGAATACGATCCTGTGCTTTATGTTGCTATTCAACAAAACGCTCGACGTTATCATATACTTTTTGGTGACGTAATCGATTCTTTAATCCAGCAAAAATTGGGAGAAAAACAGGTATGTAAGCTATTTTATATTTTGTAGCCATCATCTTTATTTACCTAAAATAGCTATGCACCTTTTATCCCTTTATTGGCATGATTCAGTGATTCAGCTTCTTTAACAATAGTGTTTACTGCCTTAAACTTGATACGGCAAAAGTTTCCATGTCTAGCCAATAATGGCAGGCAATCGAACCATTGATGTTACGCCGAGTTGGCAAATTTTGAGCTTTCAATATTTATTTTAAGAAAATATATTTATTCATGGGTTTTAAGTTTCTGTAGTTTTCTTGTTTTTTCGATTCCAATTTAACGGCAGAAATTTTGTAGCTTGTATTTTGAATAATACTAAAATAAGTGTTTAGCCACCTGTTCGAGACGCTTTAGATGCTTTCATATTTCAACGTGTCTATTTGGACAGAAAGCAGAACGAAGACGGCAGTGGAGCAGATCAAATTCAAGATTTGCGCAAGAAATATCCGCCTCAGCTGCTTCGTAGATTGTATGATTTGATATTTCCTTCGAAACACATTCAAAATTTTCCACATTTTTTACCGATATGAGGATATGAGACATTTTTTTTCCCGATATGAAATAATTTAGTTTATTTGGATTTGTTCGTCATACACAGGTGTTTCGGTGTGATTTCAACTTTTCGGGATCCTTGAACTGTATAGCAAAAATTCTACTTACTGCTTAGAAAATCTACTTTTCATTTTTAATAAAGTAATATATATATATATATATATATATATATATATATATATAATATATATGAATGATGTTTCTGAGCTGCTTCCAGAGATTTTTTGTATATTTCAGTGAAGTATTTTTCAAGGGAAGCTCTATAAGTAAACCGTTGGCAATACGTGAAGTGAAGGCAGCTCACGTGGGTAAGCTGGTTGTAATAAGTGGCATTGTCATTCGATCTACGGAAGTGAAACCAATGGCTTCTGTTATGACTTACACTTGTGATACTTGCGGTTGTGAAACCTATCAGCCGGTGATTTTTCTTTTCTTTCTGTATAAAAACTAATAACTATTTTACCATTTTTATAAAAACTAATAGTTATTTCTATGTCATTCAAGAAATGCAGTACCTACAAACTGATTAACTGCTCGTAAATCATAGTTTTCCTAGCAGTAGCTAGAAATAAGCTTTCAAATTTTCAGATAGCAGGACCGGCATTTATTCCGCCACTTAATTGTCCGTCGAAAGACTGTGTTGAAAATAGGGCAAATGGACGTCTGCAAATGCAAATTCGTGGATCAAAATTTATGAAATTTCAAGAAATGAGAATTCAGGAACTTGTAATTTTTGTTGTGCTAATTTTGCAATGTTCTTTATCATATTCCAGATCCTAAAATAAATGGCCTATTATTTCATACAGCAATTTTAGTTTGAAAAGTTTTAAGCCGCTGAAATTCTAATATTTTGTCACAATTTTATTTATTGTATAGAGATTTTGAAACTCATCTTTTTTTCAATTTTGATTTTAGAATGAACAGGTTCCTGTTGGTAGCATTCCATGTTCTTTAACAGTGAACGTTATCGGCGAAAATGCAAGAGCTTGCGTACCAGGCGATGTTGTCCGAATTACTGGTACATTTGCACCTCTAATGAGGACTGGTTTTCGACAATTTACCGGAGGCTTAACAACGGAAGTTTTTGTCGAAGCACATCACATCGAAAATATCAATATGGTTTGTATTTCTTTAAAATTTTTGTACATCATTTTAATTCCTGTTTTAAATAATCACAGTGGATTTAAGGATCCGACTTTGGAAAGTTGAGCTTTTCTCGAAGTTTCGGGAAAGCTAGCAAACTTGCACATTAAGGAGAGGAGTAAAAAGGGTTAAAATATTCATCAGAATAATTTTTCAGTATCTTAAGGTATTTTGAATTCATGAAATGGTGTGCTGAATATGTTTCTGTTGAAAAATTGAGGGCAAGGTAATTTTTGAGAACAGTGAAGATATCCTTGGCGAGCAGTACGAATTAACAGACGAGGAAGTTGAAATAGTTTCACAGGATAATTTCTACGAATTATTGGCTTACAGTATTGCTCCGGAAATCTATGGACACTTAGATGTCAAAAAATCATTATTGCTTGCTCTCGTAGGTGGTGTTGACAAAAATGTCAATGGAATGAAAGTTAGAGGTATAATTTTAGCAAGAGATCTTTTCAAAAAAGCATAGTTTTGGAGTTTATGCACTTTTTCTTAATATCTGACATATCCCTTACTTTTCCACGTTCTCATTTTTAAATTAGCTTTCTAATTTTCTAATTGCTATTAAAATAATTATTTTTTTTAAATGATTTACTAATATATTTGCTTGTAGCAGGAAATAACTGACTTGCATGTTTTATGTTATCCATTTTTAGAAAAAATTGAATCTGATTCAACATTATTTCATTTTTATATCTTTAACGTTGATATAGGTTGCATCAATATTCTTCTAATGGGTGATCCGGGTGTGGCAAAATCACAGCTTCTGTCCTACGTAGATCGTTTGGCAATTCGTTCTCAGTATACGACTGGTCGAGGGTCTTCTGGTGTTGGTCTTACGGCAGCTGTAATGAAAGATCCTGTTACTGGTGAAATGACATTGGAAGGAGGAGCTTTAGTGCTGGCTGATCAAGGTATTTGTTGCATCGATGAATTTGATAAAATGATGGATGCTGATCGAACAGCCATTCATGAGGTGTGACTTTTTTATCAACTCTATTTGAATTTAGTAAAATTTGACTTAGTTCTGAATTCATGTGTTTTGTTTTGAATATGTTTAGAAAAGACTCAACTACCAGTTTGAATTTTAATTGCTTGGAATTCAGATGACTGGTCTGTTAAGTTTTAGTGTTGTTCTCTGATTAAATGCAGCTTTGTCGTTGCTTTAATTTTATGTTTAGGTTATGGAACAACAAACAATCTCAATAGCTAAAGCAGGGATTTTGACAACGTTGAATGCTCGTGTTTCAATTATCGCTGCAGCAAATCCGGCATTTGGGAGATATAATCCTAAAAAAAGCATCGAACATAATGTCGATCTTCCAGCGGCACTTCTTTCACGCTTTGATCTTCTTTGGCTCATCCAGGTTTTCAGCTTTCCACTTTTTTTTATTGATTTTAAATTCTATTTTTGAATTTGTTTTACTTGAACTAATAAATATCTAGGACCGACCAGATCGTGAAAGTGACAAGCGTTTGGCAGAGCATATCACATATGTTCATATGAAGGGACGTGAACCAGAGAGGGAAGGGATGAAACCGCTCGATATGTCTCTAATCAGGTCAATCTTAAAAAGCTTGAAGCTATATGTTTTCTAAAAATTTCAAGCAGTGAAATCAAGCACATTTCGTCCTTCAGGTCATTCCTAGTTATGGAAACTTAATACTGTTTAAAGTTTCCAAAATATAACATGTTGCTTGACTTTTCTTTCGTTATCTTTTGTATCAGATCTAGATAAATTTCGAAGCATTTTTTGCTCTAGAGGAGTATTGGTTCTTTTTTTTTTTTTCATAGTCGATTTTTATTTCTAGACGATACATTGCATTGTGCAAACGAAAACAACCTGTTATTGAAGAAAAACTACGTGATCGACTTGTGGATATGTATGTGGACCTTCGCAAAGATGCACGGAATAACAGAGTCCGCCTAGACCACTTATTGAATTTATCTTTTTACATTCACAGAAAGAAAAATTATCGATATGGAGAATAGCTTGTTTATTATAAATTGGCAGCATGTTTTCGCTTTTTTGAAATTTATTTTTATTTAGAATTCAGTATTTACTTCACCTCGAAGTTTATTGGCAGTTATTCGACTGAGTTCAGCACTGGCTCGTCTCCGCCTTTCAGATGTGGTCCAGTCAAGTGATATAGATGAAGCAGTTCGTCTTCTGGAGGTCGTATTTGAGATTTTACTTGTACTTCAGTGAAATTTATATTCTAATTTTTTAGGCGTTACAAAATTTGTAAGATTATTTCAATACATTTGCTTCTAAAATTAATCAAAATGACTAGTGAGTTAGAACTGACTATATATGTTGCTATCTTAGGCTTGTCGAGCTTCGGTCACTACAGAACAACTGAAACAGCATGAAATTCCTATTCTTGATCAAGCGTTTGCTGTTATTCGTGACTTGTATCATAGCATCAGCGATGATGAGAATCGTTCACTTCCACTACAGAGAGTATTTAAAAAATGTTTCGCGAAGGGGATCTCAGAAGAAGTTGTACAGGAATGTATTAATACTTATACTGCTAACGGTGTTCTCATGGTCGATCGACAGCAACGAATTGTTTTCACTGTTGCTTGAAATGTTTATTAGTTCTCCGATAATCGCTGAATAAGTATGCTACCAATTACTATTCACAGCTATAGAACATTTTCGACAAGTTAGCTTTTGAGTTTTTTCCAAAAAAAAAAATACGGCATCTGTTCTTGAAGATGTGTCTTTGAGGTTCGTCCATGGAAATTCCATGCGTCTTTTTACATGTGATGAGAACAACTGATACATTAAATTATTTGCTTCATCTCTTTGAGAGTTGCACCTTTTTCTATGCCATTGCTTGGCGAGTTTTTATAAGAGATCGGCAGCTCATAATATTACTTTGAGTTCAGCAGATAACAGTGCATTATTAATGAGTATCTTTTTGTTCGATCAGTATATGTCTGGCCTAATATGAGAAATTTCATAAAAGCTTTTCTGATTAAACATTCATTATAGATCCGAAGTGTTCTTAAGAGATTGCGAGAGACATTCACTGCCAACCCGAAGATTACTTTTTGGGGTTTTTTTAACTTGTTCCTTTTGGACAGTTTTGCATTTTTATCATAATTTGCACAAAATGAAATCATGATTATATGTACTTTTTTCCTTACATGTAATGAGATGTTCTTAGTACTGATGTATAAGAAAATTTATCATATTTTGTACTTTCATTTCATTTTTTTTTTTTTTTCTTTCACCGACATTGGCGTAAACGTTTTGTTGCGGGTGTATCACTTTGGATCTGCGTCCTATTGTGGTGTTCTGAGAAATGAATTTTACGTTGTTGGCCAGTTGGTTTACGAAGAACCGAAACGAGACTAGTGGTTTGCTTGAGTTCGTGTTGTTTGAACTAAGAATTGTCTATATTAAAATTTCTCCATCGTTTCATCATCTAGGATTGTGGATTCCATCCTAGATTGTCACATAGTTTCGACCTTTATAATTATATTATACATACAATCCGGGAATTAGGGATTTCCTCATCTGTGTTAAATAAAACTTTCTATGCAAAAAGATGAGTGAAATTGGACTTGATCTGCATTAAATAATTTTCATGAATCCAAGAACATTGAGTAGTCTATAATTTTTGCACTCAATTTTTACAGAAATCAGGAAGAGAGTGACTTGAACATGGATTAAATTTGAAGTGCTAAATAGCTAATAAGTAAACAATTACATGTTTCCCAACAATTTCCTGAACATCTGGTGGCATTTGTTCAGGATTTGTTGGGCAAGCCATTCTTTTTTCCATTCTTCACGCTTGATTTCTCCATTACTGACTAAGTTAACTGGACGTTTAATTACTGCCTGAAAAGATATGAAATCTCATCACTTAATTTTACAGTTCAATATTTTTCTGTATTTAATTTTCTTTTTTTTTTAAACATCATTATAAGACTCAAAAATGATGGATAGACTACGTAAAACATTAGGTGGGTTTAAATTTTAAGTACTACTGTAAATTTTATTATAAATATAATTGCCTGAAAATTTGCGCCGCATTCACGTATCATTTTCTTTGCTACAGTGACATCAGATATCGAATTGCCATTGAGAGCTATAATATGATCGTAAATTTTCAAATAATCTCTCGCTACAGTATTTTCGGCCACTTCTAGGATAATAATTTTATGCGCGGTGACATTTGCTATCTAAAAAAAATAAGGTATTTAATAAAAGTGTACCTTAAATGGAATAACAAATTAGACTAATGTTTTTTAATGTTTTACTCTCATCTGAAATCGATATAATTCTTAGGTTTTTCTGTTTATTTTTGTATTTATATTGGAAGGAAAAAAAATTTTTTTTCATATTATAAAAAAGCTTCTTGAATGCTATGATATTTTGAAGGTAATTTTGGCTAAATAAGCTATTATAGCTCAAGTATTTTGAATTTAATTCGAAAAACTTACATTTAATCCAAATGGACGACCTGCACTGGAATCATAGCGAACGTTAACAATAATATAATCGTATCCAGCACATCTTTTGATTATTTTTTCACTATTTTCAATGTGGTAGAAGTCGTTCCTCCAATTCTAATTCACGTTCTGCTCTATGTTTAACAGCAATCTAAAAAAGGAATATGCATTAGAAATTCGTATTTTATACTATTTTTATGTCCGATCAATTCTAATAATTTGCTATCACTTTTAATCACTCTTATCATTATGTTCTATAATCAAATGTTATTATGAAGAAAGATAATTATTAAATCGGACTGAAGCAAGTACAAAAGGAATTATTTAATATCTGTAATGAAATCAAAAAAAAAATTTTTAATTTTTAAAATGTTGGATTAATCACTTAGCAAATTATTCTCATCATTCGTCATCCATGGTTCGTTCATTTAAAAAGCATATTAATTTTGCATTGATATGTAATATCACTTTTTACTCATCCATAATCAAATAACCTATGGTTTTGAATTTTAAAGTTGATGCTAAAATTAAAATATCACATTTACTCGTTTGCCAGTAGTAGCATCCTCGAATAATTTGAAAAATTGATTGCGATCTTTAATTGGAATGCCATTCACTTTTTAAATCACATCACCAAGTTCAAATTTACCTTGAGCATGCGATTTATCCATAAAATTATTAAATTCTCATCAGGTCGATCTTTAATTGCAATGTACACCTAATGCTTCACATGGTGTCATCTGTATTAAAATTAATTAATTAATTAATTATGTGTATTAATGTTATAGTATTACTTCTACTTTTTACCAATTGCAATATTATCATTACAACAAATAAATTTGCAATAAATCAAAAGCAAAACTTCATTAATTCATAAATTTTTTAGGATAGAATTGATACAATCATATTTCGATTATCATCAATTCAGGAAAAAAGAGGAAGAATTAAACTAACAGAAAGTGAAATAAGAACTGTGTAAATTGTAGTGGTAACTGATGGCGATGTACTAGCCATTATCACAGTATTATCATTTTTAACAACATTTCTCATAACATTTACTTCGAGATCTTCATTTATCCGTTGAAGCAAATGATAAAATTGTTCATCCTCGTGAAGTTTGATTCCATTTATTTTCGATTAATGTATCTTGCAACTATAAAAGAGCACTTCTAAGTAATATTATCCATAGTATTTTAATTATTAAATTTATTTAATTTACTTATTAAATGCATTTAATTTTTTTATTCCTATCCTTTTCTTTTTTCTTGATAGAAAAAATTTCTTTACGTATTTTCATTTATTTTCTTTTACTTTTTTCTACACAAAAAATCTGTTATGGATTTAAAGTTTACAAATTATATATTACAGATGTTTGGAGAAATTAATTTCAATCATTTATGTATTATTTGATTTACCTTAAATTTTGTTTCTCCAATTGAGCCATTTTGGATATCAGTTACCATTAAATATTTTATTGTTATACCCAAAAGATCTCCCACATTCATAAGGAATATGTAAATTCACAACCTGAAAATAATTTTGATAACAAAAGTATATCAAAAAAATTTAGAAACGATTAACGGAAATCAACAGACATATTCTTTTCATCTCTTTTATTATTTTCTCGAAATATTTCCCAAGAAGTTAGCACTTCATTATTTTCATTATTTATTATTACCATATTTCATTGTCATCTATTTAAGAAGTAAGATGACATCTTAGTAGAAATAAATTAGTAATGTCCCTTTTTGATAAATTTATTCTTTAATTCGATCAATGATTACTTTTTTTGCAAATTCCACTTTATTTTTATTAATTTTTGAGCCACGAGAAATGTATAAAACAATTTTTTGCTGTCCTTTAATAAGATTTTCACAACTTTCCAATGATTGTATCGGTTCTTCATTTATGCGTTTAATATGATCTTTTTCCTTAATACCAGCTTCAGCTGCTAATCTTTCTACTTTTTTCACTAATACCTGAAAAATATAATTTCAAACAAAGTTGATACACTTATATGAATTAAGAAAACAAAATACAAAATAATTCTATTATTACTGGTTTTTTTTTTTTTTTTTTTTGAAGAAAAATGACACTGTTGATTGTTATAGTTATTAAACTAAGATGTTAGCATCAATTAGCTAGCTATGAAAGGTCATAGTTGAACCATGCAACTGATAGATTGATAAAGTATTTCAAATTTTATACTTTTGAGCAGAAAATTTGAATAAATCGCTTTATGATAAGACTATTTAAATATCTAACATTCTTTTAAAACCAAATTTGAATTATCCCAAATGATTCATTATCAATGTTTTTTTTTTTTTAATTCAATTACATAATCAATTTTAATGTCCGATTCTACCTTTTTGTCACCATTTTATCGATTTACCGTAAGAATAAATTTAGTATGTGCTTGCGCTTCTTGCAGTAAAATCTAAAATTTTCACTACCAAATTGATTTAAATATAAAATTTATACATGAAAAAGAAAAGAAAAGAAAAAAAGAGTTATAAATTCATTGAAAGTATTAATGCGTTAACATTTTTCCAACAAATTTTATTCAAATGAGAAATAAAAAGAAAGAGTAGAAAACTTTAGCAAACTTTAAGACAAATTTTCGTTTGTTTCAAACTGCTTATCATTAACAGCAATGATAGTATCACTCATTCGAATAGATGGATTACAACCATGCAAAATTAAGTCTTTCTCAATGATTGCTCCACTATCGTTTAAACTATCATGTCTTCCCTATCATTTGGATAAAATATATACAGGGCAAATTTTCAAATTAAATAAAAGCGCAACTTTTGGATGCACATAATCTCAAATGTGTGACTTTTGCGCATTCAACATCTAATCATTCTTTAAATGATCATCAACTACAGAATGCTTTTAAAAGCTAAAACAAAAATTCATTGTTTTGTGATTAAGAGAATAATTTAAATTTACTTCGTCTTAATGTAATACAATTCTAATATTTTTTTCATGAAATCAATCCTTCCGGAAGTTTTATTTTATCATTTATTATTGCTACACCATATGATTACCATTATCATACCTTGTCAAGAAATCAACCTGAACAGCCATCTTTTCCTGTTCAGATAAAGACGATGACATATTCTTTGGTAATTCTGTGACAAATAAAATGATAATGATTTGTTATTATACACCAGTTCACACAGAAAATAAATTATGCAATGAATATATTTGTTTAAAGTTCATTATTTTATAAGCTATTCGGGAAAAAAAATAAGTCATTTTCAACATCAAAATTTGTCACATCAATTTTTTGCAGTAATATGCAAATTCATTTATAAATATTACTTTCGCTTTTTTTTTAGAATGTTTTTATTAAATGCTGGAGTGATTAAATTGGTACATAGGAATGAAAGTGATAGTTAAACTTTTTTTACTCTATGATTAGAGCTGTGTTGATGATTATAAATAATATCATAGTACTTTTTTTTTTTTTTACTCAACTAAACATATTTAGCTTTTTTGTTTTTCTTCCACTTTTTGTCTTTTAATTTTAGGTCCTTTTGCTCTCAACAAAGATTATAGTGAAATTTATTGAAGTTAGTAAATTAAAAGTAAAATATGTTAAAGTTAATGCAGGATGAATCACATTCAACAAAATTTGTCTTTCTGTTTATTTTTGTTTCCATATTTTTTAGCTATACCACTGGAAACATTTCAAAGATTAATGATTCATAGAAAAAACAAAACAAAAACAAAAAAAAAAAAAATACAGTGGTATGATAAATTTATGTTCACATCACAATTACTGAAGCAAAATGATCATTTATCAGATAAATTTTGAAGTTTATATTTGTAGTAGCCAAACTACTTGGATCATTTCATCTCATAATTCATATCATGGGTAAAACCTTACATTGATTGTATTTTTTTTTATAATAGCAAATCGAATCGTATTAAATTATATCACCTACTATAACTGAATTTTTTAACCTTATAGTTTGTATAATTAGTTTTCTCAATCTAAAATATATATAGGGAAGAATTTTCATAAGTAAATATGTCGTCCTATTCATGAAAATTTATGATCATGCAATTATAAAATTTATAAATCTTCAAATGAATTCTGATCAAATCTTTCGAAGAACAATTACATATCATATCATATCATTTATTAGAAAATATTAAGTAATCAATTAAATCAGCCAGAAATATTGCCTTAATTAAGTCTTTTTTTTTTTTTTTTGAAGATTGAACAATGAAAAAGAATTAGACTATTATAGGAATTTAAAGATGGCCAGAAAATACTACTTGAATGCAGTGAGATAGTACTTGAATCTATTCAATCAAACATTTCAATAATGTCTACTTTGTTTACAGCTACTCATGAACTGATTATTTTATTTGATACATTTAGCTCTTGATAGTTTGAACTTTTTTTTTTTTTTTGAAGTAATGCAGGAACTAGTATTTTATCCATGGACAACAGCTAACAACTATGTTAGTAAAATATGAATTTATAGAATGAGGGCCCAAAGTATAAAAGTTTTGTCATACATTTGTCATTTTAATTGCATATTTGCTTATTTCTCACTTCGAAAAAAAAAGTATTTTTGGACGAGTTGCTTAGAGATTGATAAGTTTCAGTATATATGCAACGAGTAGAATGGAATATTTGTGTTGACATTTACTGGTATTGCTGTTCCCTCCTTTGGTACCATTGTCACTTTCTCCGTCACATAATTTCTTTATTTGGTGACATATGCGAAATAGTATTGTCAAAAAAAAAAAAAAAAAAAAAAAACCGACATGGGGTACCTCTCTCTGGGCACTGTCTTATTGTTAAATGATTGCATTTCAGTCACGAATTTAAAGTCTCGAAGAGCACTAGGAATTCTCATTTAATTCATTTCGTAATTCCGTAAAATTCTGTAGTGAACAGGCTGAAGAACAATGAAGGATTATTACCTACCTTTCCTAAAGAGTATTCCCGAATACACTTTTTACCTCAATTATTGATCAGATAAAAGCAAACATTCTGTATTCTTTACGTGTATTATGAATATAGATATGAATTTATGAGATTTTCTGAAAAAAAAAGTTACGTTGAACTCACAAAAATGATATAACAATTTGTTGAGAAGGAAAAGGGACGCACAGGGATTTACGTCTGTGCATAAGATGACCTTAGTCATTCACGTACGTACGTGTTTGTGCATGTGCATGAATTCCACTTAAAAGTTTTAATTCGCTTGAAAATGGGAAGGAATAATTTACCGATAATTAGCAAATTGAAGTAATAGGCGAAGAAAGGACTATCCATAAGCAAATTAGCTAATCTTCCCTGAGGTCATCCAATGATCCATCCTACTGAGATATATTTCGAAGGGAAAAAGGTAAGTAAGGTGATCGTCAGTTGTCTGAAGTTAATCGCACAAAGTTACAAAATAACTGACAGACAAAATATATTCCACGGTACACTCATTCACGTGTACATCCGCACAGATGACGTATAGACGTCAAATAGACGTAAAGAGACATATGAGATGGACATTAAAAATTGCTTCCAAGATCAATCTGATAAAGCATCCTGTTGCTTTGCTAAATCAACACTTAGCAGAAGTAAGCAGAGACACAATAACACAATTTGTGAATTCAACGCATTATAGATAGATGGGTCTCTGCTAGAGGGCAGGTGGAGAGGAGAGTCAGACTAAAGGTTAAGTGAAATGGTGGCCTAGTACATCAGCCAGATGCCTTTATGGCCTATTCATCACAAATCCTCTCCTCCTCCTCCTCCTCCTCCCTTTCTTCTTCTTCTCTCTCTCTCTCTCCCTCCCTTATTCTTCTACTCTTCATTTTTGCATTCCATTCATCAAAGAGCATTACTTCTTCCTTACTTTACTCTTCACTCTGGTCTTTCTGCTATGAGTCAGAAGTTCCATGTTCTTAGCCTTAAATCCAGAAAATAACCAGTCGGATGCATGTTCTATTGCAGTAAGAATAAATCATACAATGCATTTCTGCGTGTTGCGTGCTGCATACGCTGTTCCTTATGCATTCAATTCATTTTTATATTTTCATTAAATGAAGGAAAGCTTTGTTTCATTAACACTTCTTAAAATGATATGACATCATTGATAATAAATAGAATGGACATTTGTTCTTGTTTTTTTCTTCTTTTTTATCAATTTATATTAGATTTATTATCAAATTTTAGTTAGAAATCTGGAAGAGAATTATTTCGCTCGTTTTTTTTTTGTTTCCTTTTATGCTTTTTTCATTTCTTTTCTTGTTAATACAACTCTCCCTTTTCCTCTCTCTTTCTTCCTCCCTCTCTCTCTCTCTCTTTCCCTTCTTACAATTAATAATATATTGAGAAATGAAGTGGTGATTTTTTTTCAATAATTACTAAAATATCATAATTCAAATCAACTATTGATTCTTTAATATATATATGAAATACTTCGAGAAATATAATTGAACATAAAAAAAAGTATATACTATTTCAACTTTATTCTTCACCTGCAATTATAACTTTTTAAAATTGCTTTTCTAAATTTGATGAAGTTTTTAATTCATATAAGCAATGATTGCTAGTAGATTTTATCAATTTTTCATTTTCACAATAATTCCTATTATTACAAACTGTTTATTAGAGTTCTTATTTATCCACTTAAAATTTCAAAGTGATATTATGTGTATTTTCTCTCAACTTTTACTGCATACTTCATTAATGTTATTGTGTATTATGATACAAATAAATTGCTAATTGCTAATGAAAGTTATGAAAATGTGCAAAAGAGTTTAGAGAATATTTACATTGCATAATTGGAACATTATCAAATTATTTCAATCATTTCATTTTTTACAAGTAGAATTGCAAATATTTTATCCTCTCTGAATAATTTGGTTCTTTTTTTGTCTTTTTTATGTAGCTTTGTATCCATTTGTGTCTTTTTCATCCTTTCTTTTTTCCATATATTGCTCACTCATTTCAGTCTTGTCGAGAAACAGATGGAAGTAATCAAGAGTAGATTTATTGTAAATATAACTTTTGAAATTATTCTTTAATGCTTTATTCAGAAACATAAGTTTTTCTAAAGTATAACTTAACTATTAGCTATTTATTTGGGAGCTAAATTTTGCTTAAGGTGAATTTTTGTTTTTGATTATTTGACAATTGTTGGATTTTAAATTATCAGCTTACATTCATATATGCACAAATGAATTTATTTTCAGGATAATGAATGAAAGAAGTGTAAATAATAATTGGACGCAATCAGAGGAGTAACTTAGCAATCGGTGATAAAGTTGTTAGTTGTAAATTGCTGCGTGCAAATTTGTGATTATTCAAAGGTAATTAGATTTTTGTTCTTCTAAATGCAAATAGATTATTTGCTTCTTTCTCATTGATATTATCTCATGTTGGCACAAAGATTGAGTGGGTGGAATTAAATATGAAATCGAGAATCATTCAATAATACTATGCTGAGTTATGCTTTCGAATGATAAAATTGAATCTCTATCGATTATTTGAGGAATTTCTTTTTTCAAAGATTATTTATACAATGATTTTTCTAGCATTATATTTTTGTAATAATTAAAAAGGATTTAAATTTGAGAAATAGCATACTATGGCAGCAGAAGGACATAACGTTGATGCAACACTATTAGCAGTTGGTCGTGATCATGGCCATTACTTTGTTCGCAAAACATTTGGTAAACCAACATACTGTCATCATTGCTGTGATAAAATATGGGGAATGCTTACACAAGGATATGCTTGCGAAGGTTTGTTACAAATGTTCTGAATTTAAATTTCTATTCAAAAATAAGTATGCTCATTGTTTTGAGAATCGGAAGAAAACTGTTTCCAGAATGTTTCTGTAAATTTTCGGAACTTTTCGGAATGTTATGATATCTTGAAATTCTTTATATTCTATATTATAATTAACTTATATTATTATGTAAAGTTTTACCAATCATATTTTATATAATTACGGCATACTTTGAAAGGAGACATGTTTACTGAGTGGATTCTAATTAGATAATATTTAGTATAACTAAGTATACCTTGTTCTAAAGTTATAAAATGCGTAATTCTTTTTATAATGATTTATTAGGCAGTTATTTTATCACGAAAATTTTATTTTGCCTTACTTTGCCTTTAAAAATGTGTTTCAGTTTGTAATTTCATATGTCATGACAAGTGTAAGAAAACGGTTGTTTCATTCTGTAGTGGTGTTGCCTTGCAGTTGATAAAGGTAATAACTAATATCATCAAATGTAGCTAATGTTTTCTTAATAAACACCCGTCCATATGTTATATGTTTGACTTATTAGCGCTCATTAAATTCGTTTATGCTGACCAGATGTGATAGTTAGGCAAACTTCTAATAGCACATATTATCTTAATTTATTCTCAAATTACTTTGAATACATTGATACTAATGAATATTAACGATATATAAATCTTTTATGATTTACTTTTAATTGGATTGAAAAAGAAGAGAATTTTTACTAAGCAAAAAAATCTCGTCTCTCTTCTCGGCACAGTATCCTTACTTTTCATTGTAGTTTAATTTTTTGTAAACTCAAATCTTCATTCCGAAAAAATGAGATGTGAATACTAAACTTATGCTATTCAACTTCTCGTGTTATTCAATTGTTGAAGCTTCATTTGAGTTTTTTATATTTTCTTGACATTTGGACTCCTCTTTGCAGAATCCAGTCGCTCACACATGGTCTGAACCATCACATATCAAACGAAGGTTTTGCTGCGTTTGTCGCAAAAAAACTGATGATTCAGTGGCTGTTGAATGTGAAGGTAAGTTGTATTTTCAAATTAAATTTTGCATTTTTGTAGATGAAATTGCTAATGTTAACGCTTCCCAAACAATAAATTCGTTTTGTTAATCAAACCAAAAAAATTCTTTGCGACAAATCATCCATTCATTTTCCAAACCACAGTGAATAGAGATATTCCATTCTCTTCCATGAAATTTTATTCATTCACTTTTTGATTACTTTGTAGTTTGTGAATATTACGTGCACGTTGACTGTCACGATTTAGCAGTAAGTGATTGCAAGGAAGCTGCTACATATGTACCTAATTTGGATAAGGTATGTTTCTTTTTTTATTATCCTCTTGAGTGATTGTACTTAAAGAATTTCTCACTAATATCCAAATTCTGGATTCTTCTAACTTCTATCACAATTTGGTTAATGTAAATTCCGTTTCCGTCACATAATAATAAGTTTTATTGACTTGCTTTATTATTTTACATACTGACGACAATACCTGAAATAAATTTTATACTTTAGTAATATAATTCTATAGTCAAACATCAAATTCATTAGATATAAAATTTCGTGAAAGAGAGTTAGTGAGTACTTCGTATTTGATAAATTCTTTAAATTCAGAAATGTAAGAAGGCTGAAATATAGATTTGTTTTCAACTTAGAATGCAGCTTTCATATATATAAATGTCAAGAATATTTCTGTTGCGTAGTTGAAAACAAGAGGGAATAGGATGAAAGATGAGAAACTTATGCTGCAAATTTTACTTCTGGGAAATTCAAAGCTCTGAAAGCTTACTGGCTTTTTTCACTGCCAAAATATTTGGAAGCCAGTGGAAGGTAATGATTGGTGGAGTAATGAATAGAGAAGTTATTCAATCAGCTATCTTAATACTAAGTGATGTTTATTTACGTCATATGCTAAGTTGAAATTCAAATAAATCTTTTAGGATTCAAAAATAACTTATTTAGTAAAGCGCACACCAGTTTGTTTTCATCTTATTTTTTGAATTTTCAATCTTTTCTCTCCTCCTCTCTGATTTCTCAACATCTATGAATACATTTCTTCTTAAGAACAAAAATAAAGCCCTAGAGCTCAGGAATCAAAAGGCAGCCGAGAAGATGGGAATCAAGAAATTGATGTTTTTTTTTTTTTTTTTTTTTTTGTAGACCGTTCAATGAATCAAACTTTTCGGAAAAAAAAAAAACTGTTGGGATGGGACAAATTTATTATATCAAGGCAGTTTGAAATATCATAATTTTTCAATTTCAAACATTTTGATGAATTTGGTTTTCATTTTATGTGAGCAACTTTCGAACAATATTTTCATTTACAGTAGTAGGGAAAATGTTTCTAAATTAAATGATGCTCTGGATATTATTAGTATTCAAAATGCTACAGAGATGAGCTTGTTTATATGATGATTTTGAAAATTTCAAACTTTTTGTTTTTATTTATATAATTTACTTCAAGATTAAACCTTTGCTCTTAAATGCCTTTCTTTCAAATCTCTAATCCTTAATGATGGATGATGCAAACACATAATGCTTTTATGAAGCATTTTTTACTCTAAGCCATTTGTATTTTTTTGTCCGTTCTTCGATTTTTCCTTATTTTCATTCGATCATTATTCTGAATTCTTGATACTTAGATGCATATAGTAGTATTGCTACCAAAACATTCTCAAAAAATTCTTTAAAAAAAACAACTTTGTTTTTAAAAATTTTATTGTTTTTATCATAAATAAATTTAGAGAGCTAAACAGTAGTAGAATGAATTTAGCAGATTTTAATTTACCTAACGAGAATTTAAAAAAAACAAAGACAAAAAAAGCAACATAAAATTCCTCCATGAATTCATTTTAAGGAGTTGCAATCGTATCTTTCCTATTTTTTTCAGAATAAACAGGTACAACATCATCATATGAGGGAGGGTAATATACCACGCGATTCCAAGTGCGTTGTTTGCAGAAAAGCTTGCTGGTCGTATGAGTGTTTAGCTGGTATGAAATGCGCTTGGTGCTCTGCAACGGTAAGTTTTTCCTGAAAATAGTACCTTGTAAAAATATGTTGTTTAGGAATGAGTAATCAGGTATTTATCAAATTATAGGACCAAGTGCATCTTGATTCCTATTGTTTTTCCAGTTCTTAACTACTTTAATTTATATTTGCTAAGTGTTTAATCCTTTTTCATCTTTTCTCGATTTGTTTCGAAAGGAGTTATAAGTTAAAAAAAAGAAAAAGTTTTCTGAGAAATGTGTATCCACCTCTCAGGTGTATATTATGCAGAGCAATAAAAATTTTCTACAACAACAGAGGAGTTATTCAACGAAGAAACTAATGAAACCATAGAAAATAGTTGTATAAAATGATTGAATTAAAAGTCAAAAAAAAAAAAACTATATACGGCAGTTTGGGATGTAAAAGATTTGGAAATGATAAAATTTGATATTTATAGAAAAGTACGATGTTGATTTTAAGGCTCATGCTATCTGTTATCGTCAAATGTCTCTCGAATGTGATTTTGGTGCTTTAAAAAAGATTATGTTGCCACCCAACGCATTAACAATTCCAAGGACAGAACTTCCAATGAAACAGCTGCTTAACATTCAGGGAACTTATCTCGAAGGTTTCAACCAGCAACGTATACCTTTTTTTTTCTTTCAGCTAATTTGTAAAATTCGTATTTTATTCTGTTCATCTTAACTTTTAAAAAATTTTTTTGCAGAGTTTAATTTAGTAATGGCAAAAATTTTACAAAAGACCATTCAACTGATAATAAAGAATTTTGATCTAATGTTTTCTTTTTGATAAAGCTGTTATTTAGCTATTTTCAAACCATTTTCAAAATTTTAGCATCTTATAGAAAATGACTACCCTTTTCTTGCTATTTTTGGACTTTAGCATCATCACCAGTGAAAACACACCCAGAAGATTCTGCACTGAATTCACCAGATGAAGCAAAGGAAAAAGAGGACTATGAAAATTTGCGTATTTTTGATGGCAATAGTTCTCTTAGGAAACACGAGTATCGTACAGCTACTGTGCCAAAAACAGCCTCAATGCATCAAATACGAGTAAGTTAAAATATTTCACTTTTAAATTCTTTTACTAGTGATTTATTATCACTCTTGAACACTGAATGGCTAAAAAGAACGACTAGTTTATCAGAGATCATTGAAGTGATTATTTAAATATAACCTTCAAAATGTAACAAATATTTTTGTGCGGGTTTCGTTTAAAAAATTATAAACAATACAATATGCATGCAATGCTTTTATGTATTACTTATACTCATTAAAGTGTTGACTACTATTCATTTATTAGTTCCTTTTAGTTGCAATATATCAGGAAAAAAAAATAACGTCATGTTCCATTAGACAATGAAATTTTACATTGCAGTAAACTTAAAATTCACTTAGCGAAGTTTTCATACACAATGTACTCACATATGTAATTTTTATTAGGATGTGGCACTTAGGAGGTTTCATATCAGTGATAATCCTGATTGTTATTATGTCACACAAGTGCACAACGACAGTGAGTATTTTTGATAATTTTTTTTCTTATGGTATTTTGAATTTGATTGATTATTATGTAGCAATTTTTTAACTCCAAAAAGTATATATTACTTCTCAAAAAAATTTTCTAGTATTTTTTGTGTTGAAAAGTTTAAAATTTTCTTCAGATGGTGAGGAAGAATTGCTTGAAGATCCGTTACCACTGAGAAACGTACGGCGACCAGAAGGACGCCGTGCTCAAATTTTCCTTCGTTACAAAGATGATCCTGAAAAAGCAGTTGTTAAATTATATGGTGGTTGGCTTAGGTAAATTTTAATGATTAGTCATTAGTACGACATTAAAAATATTTCTTCTGTTTTTTGTAGCTTTGCTTAAATCATTTTGCGAAAAGCCATGTTTGTTTCAGCTGACTCTTTGCTTCCCATGATTTGAGTTATCCTTATCGACAAAATGCTTTTTCGGATCCTTTACATGAAATCCTGATTTAATTAATGCGGAATCAAATCGAAGAAGCACGTGACTTAAACCTTATCAAACTAAACTAAAATAAGCCTCTCTCTTCATACTTCGGGAAGATCGGGAAGATCTTGATATTTAACACTTCGAAAACAATGGAATTAAATAAAGTGCAATTGGTTATATTTTTTTTAGAGTACCAGTAACATGCTGTTCGCTGTTAGTTACAAAAGAAACACTGGTTCAAGATGCAGTGGCAGAAGCGCTGGACCGATTTGGATTGGATCGGAATTTTGCTAACCGTTATAATTTAATTGAAGTTTCGCTCGATCGTGGTGTTGCTGAAAGAACTGCGAATCCACAGGAAAATATGCTGCAGCTTGTGCGAAATTTAAGAAAAGTACAGCTTAGTATAACCTTTTTCTATAATTTTTACTTAAACAAAAGAACCTTTCATGCTTCGTTGTTATGGTAATAAGATAAACTATTCAATTTTTGAGAAAAGTAAAGTTCTTTGAACAGAATAATGATTGACAATCACTACGTCATTTCTGTTTTTGTTTTCTCTCATATTTCGTTCAGTTTTCCAAATTCCAGGATTCCTTGCGACGTTATCACGTTGTTCGTTTTTATATACAAGAAAAGGATGATCCACACGATCACGCTGTTTTTGTTGGTAATTTACCGCTCTCACTGGCTCAAAGACAATATGAAAGGATTCTTTTACGGCTACTAGGCGCTAAAGGTTATCATTTGCTTTTATTTCGGAGACGCTTCTACTTTGATTTATAGCTTTCTGTACTTTTTGTGTATTCGAGGTACAATTAAAGAAGTGAATTCATCCTAAATTTTCCCATGAGGATTTTTAAGTGATTTTGAATTCGTGAGCTGTGATAAATTTTTGAAAAAAAAAAAAGAAATTCTCTACGCTTTATATAAGCTTTATATTCTCTTAATTTTTGCTTTAATTTCCAGAAAAGCCTTTCACTGCTATCGGACCAATATATTTCGAATACGGTTCACTAGTGATTACATTCAATACAGCAAAAGCTGCAACTTCGGCTGTACAACGCCTTCAAAATGCGGTTTACGAAGAGAAGAAATTAATAGTACTTTGTCTTCCTAATGTGCAGGTTAATCGATAATAGATTTGTTGTTGTGATATGGACTGAAGTAAATTCAAACCGTAATTTAGTTTCCATTTCCAGTGTTTCATTTTCAGTTTTGAGCTCTTTATTTGTAGCACAACTATTAAGAAGTCGATTCAACTTCGTTGTTATATTACTTAAAGAATCAACGACTTCAGTTTATCAGAAAATTTATCTATTTCTGACTGACTAGAACAGTTAGAATTTTGAGAAATTTTATTGCCTCTTCAAAGTTCTTTCAGCCCCATATGTTATCACCCGATTGTGAGCCTCTTCTGGTGCTTGTGAATGTTAAAAGTGGTGGTTGTCAGGGAAGCGAATTAATTAAAGCATTCAGACGATTGTTGAATCCTTTTCAAGTATTTGATGTATTGAAAGGTGGTCCATTAGTTGGGTAAGCACTTCTTTCACTTTCATTTTGTTCATTGTAAAATATGAATGCATTTTTTGTCAGTTAATGAAATAATATGTTTTTATTAACAGTTGAAACGGCATGAAACAGATTATAATTTTATATTAAAATCTTGATTTTAGGTTGTATGTTTTCCGAAATGTTCCAAAATATAAGATTTTGGCTTGCGGTGGAGATGGTACAATTGGTTGGGTTTTACAGTGCTTAGATATTGCTAAACAGGTTATTGTTTTATTGATCAGATGCACAGCTGGAAGAAATTGAATCACAAAAGATCAAATATTCGAGTTTTATCAAACTTTAGTTGAAGCTTCCAGAAATTATTACTTTAAAAAGTATTCTTTCAGGACGCAGCATGTTTCTCCCCACCATGTGGAATTGTTCCATTAGGCACCGGTAATGATCTGGCGAGAGTTTTACGATGGGGTGGTGGTTATAGTGGTGAAGAGAACCCAATGGATATTCTTCGAGATGTTATTGAGGCTGAGGAAGTACGCTTGGATAGGTAGTTATTATTTTTGAATTGTTGAAATTATTTTAAAAACATTTGTAATTGACCACTGTTGCTATGAAAGTATTCCATATTATCAACTTTTGTCATTTCCATGTGTACAGCATGGCTTAAGTTTGGAAGAATTCAGTAATAGCTTGGTTATAATTTACAAGAATTTGAGAAGATTGCAGATGGGCAGTAGTTTTTCACGAGGAAGAACGTTCGCAACCGCCAACAACATCTAATGTTGAGCCAAGTCCTGATTCAGAGCAAATGATGAGCAATCCTGAGGACCAAACTTCAATGATTATAATGAATAATTACTTTGGAATTGGAATTGATGCGGATGTCTGCTTACAATTTCATAATAAGGTCAAGACTGCACTTGTTTACTTTAATTAAATTTTTTTTTTTTGATTCCTTAATCAAATTAAAATTATTTGTTTCATAGAAAGCTATTGTACATGGTCGAAAATAAATTCGCTAGTTAAATTGCTACTATTTGCTTTTTCATTTTTTGTTTAATTGAGGTTTTAACACAGTTATCTTTATTTTTCTGTATTTCAATTACTAGCCATTCCTATGAGAAATTTATGTGAAAATTTTAATATTTTGTGGCTGTTTTGTAGAAAGTTCCTGTATAAAAGTATTATTTTAGAGAGATGCTAATCCAGAAAAGTTCAGTTCACGTTTGTTCAATAAAACACAATACGTAAAAATCGGTTTACAAAAAGTATTCTTTGAAAGAACATGTAAAGATCTCTGGAGACGGGTTGAATTAGAAGTGGATGGTAAAGTAATCGAATTGCCATGCATTGAGGGTATCATCGTATTAAACTTACTCAGGTATGGATTTTTGTTTTATTTCTTTTTTTTTTTTTTTGCACTGTCTTTTTTTGGAGTTGAAAAGTGTGCAAAAATAAGGAAGATATTCAGCAAACTTCTATTTATTGTCTTCTACTTATTATTTATTTTGATTTTGATCGCCTATTCGGTTCTGTAGAACAATTTTTGAGCTTTTTATTTCTCTTTTCATATATCTGACACTAATGTACAACGAGCAATTTTAATTATTTTCATGAAGTACGAATAATTTTCAGCTGGGGGAGTGGAGCAAATCCATGGGGAACAGCAAAAGAAGAAGGACAGTTTCAAAAGCCGACACATTACGATGGTCTGCTTGAAGTAAGCTTACACCTTATTTTTACATTCTTTAATGTCCTAGCTGTCATTTAATTCTTTTTTTTTTTTCGGATTTATTGCTAATTTTATAAACTATAAAGGAATTATTTAATTGATGTATAATTTCATTCTTTTATATTTATAACACTCGAAAATTTTTTTTTTGAGAAAATTTATAGCTTCTTTATTCCTCTCCAAATGAAAACTAGTGTTGTCCTTTACAGTTTTGTACAAATTTCACTATTTGTAGGTGGTTGGTATCTCAGATGTCTCTCGATTAGGTCTCATTCAGTCCAAACTATCAGCCGGCATTAGAATCGCTCAAGGAGGAAGTGTAAGTCAATTTTCTATTGAAAAAATATTGGCTTGTCCCAATTCGCGCAACAGTAGACAATAAAAATAGAAGTAAACACTTTCCCATGTTTGAACAATTTCGGTTGTCAGGTCTATAGATTTGAAAATTTGTTTGCTTCTATTGTCAACTAAAACTGTAGAGATTATTTGTCATTCAGCGCAAACAATAGCACGATAATACGATATTTACAGTTTTGAGGGATTTTTGCATTATCAGATCACTCCGCACCCGCTTATTGATCGATTTGTTAATTTTAATTGAAATTTAATTAAAATTTTGCCCAAGTTAATTTAATTGAAAAAATTTAATTAAATTTTGCCCAAGCCCAAGTCTTTCGAAATCTTTTGAGTGGGCGCAGCTATGATTATAGATAATTCATATAGAAGTGCTGTGCTGTTCAAGAAATCAAAAATGCCCTGTATACAGTTTTTTTTAGGATAGGACTATCAACTTCGAGATTTAAAGGACTTATTTATTTTTTTTTCTAAATATAACCTATCCATTCTTGCAGATACGAATCACAACGCATGAAGAATGGCCAGTACAAGTGGACGGTGAGCCGCACATACAACCACCTGGTACTATAACAATTTTGAAGTCTGCCCTTAAAGTAAGAATTTCTTAATTTTTATTTATTCGTGAAATTATTGTGTAGGGAAGAAAATTTTTGAATTTTTGAGCTTAGTAGACACTTTTTTTTTTTTTTTTTTGGAGGATATTAAACATGATCACAAGAAATTAAACTTTGTTTACTCCTGCTTCGTATTCTTTTTGCTTTTGCTTTTTTTCATCTTGCTTCACTTTTTCTTTTTAGATAATCTTCTTACTGAGGTATTAATAATTACCACTTCCAAACATCATCACTTGCAAAATAAAATAATATTCCCAAAATAACTCTGAAGTTTATACACAATTCACGAAAAATCATGATTGATTTCCACTATTTTATTTCTGTTCGTGGATAACTTCATTATTTGTTATTCATTTTCTGATGCATGGTTTTCCTATAATTATCTTAAGCCAATCTTTTTTTTCTTTTTTTTTTTTTTTTTTTTTTATCAGTAGTACCCAAGAAAACTTCATATTGTTAATAAAACTAAAGCGAATAAGTCAAATAAAAGTTGGATTACGATCGAGTTCTTTGAACTAAAGCGAATAAGTCAGATAAAAATTGGCTTACGATCGGGTTCTTTGACTTATTTCTTTATAATCTGTACTCCTCAATATGTAGCTTTAAATAGATTTTTAATCGCATTCATTGAATGAATTTTGAAATCTGTCGTATCTTTGTGTCAAATATAGAAAGCAATGAGTAGATTCAGCCAAAGAAAGAATTACGCACTTTCCTTGCTCAGTTTCTCGGTTTAAAACTGGAAATGAATATTTTCACTCGCTTACATTTTGCATATATTTAGGCTAAAATGTTGAAGAAAGCAAAGAAATCACGTCGCAATGCAACATCTTCGTCAACAAACGTAGCAGCAGCAGCAGCAGTTCGGCCAGTTCGGAATGAAGCTTCACCATCTTCATCACGGATCCATCCCTGCATACTCTTAAATATTGATTCCGGTCCGTTGATGCACGAGAAAAGTACAACCGATGAAGCGCATTCTGCTACTGCAAATGGCGATGATGATGATGATGAAGAAGGAGATGCTTTTTTATAATTTGTTGGTATTTATGTGTAGGGAAGTAAGCAATTCATATCATATGTAACCCAACTGATGCTATACTTTTTGCAAAAAACATTGACTGCTTAAATTGTTCCTCAAATTGTTCAACACTGTAATATCAATACTAAAAAAATGAAAATCTTTTATAAGCACTTGTGAAATTCTCATATTCACATTGCAGGTGAAGTGTGAATTTTTGAAGATATTTGTGAGACCATTTGACGATTAATATAATGCAAGTGTTTTTCTTTGTCGATATATTTTTCTAACAAAACAAAATGATTGGTTACGGGATAGCTTAGAGTAAGATTGAGAAGATCCTTTCTATGAGCATTTTTTATCTTTTGCAAGTCTAATTCTTCAAAGGCATGACCATTCGGCTAGGATCTAAAACGAATCAATTTAATGGTTTATGAGTTCTTAGTTTTGTTTTGAGATCAAATATTTCTAAGGAACATTCAATTAGTCTTATTATTAAATTTATGAGAGTGAAAATAATTGAATAAGGGAATGAAAGGCATGGTTACACAATCTGGGATATAATTTTATCACATTATTAATGCTTTCTTATTTCTTATTATTGGATATAAATATAAACTGATAGATTATGCTGGAGAATATCACCGATATTCTTCAATATGTCAATAGTTTTCCTAATTCTTCAATCTACTTTATGAGTTTAAACTTTCTGCGAAGTCTTTTAGCTTCATTCCTTGAATCCATTGAGAAATTTGGAAGTTTTTATCGGTTAAAAAGTATGACGTTAACATATGATGAATCGTAATTTAAGACAACAGTTTTGAATTTATCTGTTAGTCATTTATGATTTCTTAGCTAGTTCTCTTTTTCTTCTTACTTTCCATTATACCGGTTTATGTTCGGTTTTTTCTTGTAGTTTTTTCTTAGTTTGTAGTTTTGTTTGTTGGTTTGCTTTTCCTCTTTCTAGTGATATATCAATTTATCGTATTCTCGTAAACTCTAGATATGGAATTCTGAAAGACTAATCTTTCTAAATATTTTATATTTATGTGGACTACGGGTTTCAGTAAATAAATTTCTCAAAAATGTCATTTCTATCCGAAGATGTATATATATATATATTTTTGAAGACTCCATATTTTTAAATTTAACCTCGTCTCTTTGTAGATTATACTGATATGAAAATATGGTGATAAAGTAGGAAATTCATAGGAAACCTACGCTGATATAGAAAAGAATGTTTATTTCTCAATTCAATTTTTGCTTCCTTCTAGGAAAACTTTTCCATTCGAAGAATTGCCATTTATTCCTCAAAACTCCAACTAACAGCACTGATGTTTATTTTTCGAATCAGATTGCATGTTTTCCTTTTTGGTAAAATTTTTCCTCACTTTTATGGTGCTCATTTCGTGTCAAAGTTTGAAGAAGTTGAAATGAAGTTTCAGATAAAAAATATTTGTTCTTCATATTTATGCTTTTAAGATTATCTTAGTTCATGAATGAACCTATCAATTAGAATTTTTTTTTTTTTAATATTTAAAAGGCTTCGATTTATGTATGCTTCTTAGAACTTGACTTTCAGTGTACATTGAACTATTATTGTTTATGAAGATGACAGCATAGATGCGATTTTATGTCTTTTTAGGTGAGTGGGACTGTAATGATTATTGATCAGCTGTGATATAAATTTATTTTCATGAAAGTGATCATTTGAGAATCTGTGATTATTTTCCATCCCATTTTTTTTTTTTTTTTTTTTACACATAAATGTTTTTAATCATTGTTTTTTTCAAGTAAAGATTACCAATTTTTATTAATCAGTTCACTGTTTAAAAAAATTTATATAGACGAAGTAGGGAAAATTTTGAAGTATAAAAATTTTTATCAATTTGTCTGAGAATGTATGACCACATAGTATTAATAAATTGAAATGATTTTGCAATAAATTAAAGTTAGTAATTGAAATTAGTTTGCTTTATTACTACATATTCTATCTTGGAAGCTATGCGGCATGTTTATGACATTGAGTGATTTTTAAATTTTAAAATTATAAGTTTAGAAATTAAAAGAAATTTCTTTAAATTTGAATTATCCTATGCCTTTTTGTTTGAATTACCCTATGAATTTGATAATTCCGGACGAAAAGGAGACAACATCTGTTTTCATACATAATATTGTTGTGAAGGACCGAGATTTCTAGTTGAAAAAAAAAAGAGAAATTATTACATCATTAATTTTACAGAGAAAAGGATGAAGAAAAAGAAGTAAAATAGGAATGTTTAAGACAAATTGGTAGAAAACAAATTCCTTGCAATTTTGAGAACTCTGAATTTGTCATATGATTCTATCATTTTTGAGATAGGAAAGATATTATTATAAGAATTGATTAAACTGAGGGAAATATTTGTTGAATCATTCATATTGAGCTTATCATATCATTTTGTGAAGCATCGATTTGTTGCAAAAAAATTTTAACAACTGCTAAGGTATGAGAGTAATGCAATAATATAACAAATTTAGTAGTCTGAAAATGGAAGTTTGTATATGTTAAAATTTATAGTATATTTGATCGAATATTAAGGATTATTTGTTTGTTGCTAAAAGAAAAGTTCTAAACTGTTGTAATCTATAATTTGATAAAAGAACATTCTCGTATAATTCAAAATAATTTGTCATTTTCGAGTGAAAAACTGAAGAGTTGAAAACATCTTATGTAGATCAAACCCATAGCGCCAAGCCCAGTCATTCTTGATCCTTAAACTTTCTCTCAATTGCTTTCACGAAAACAATTATAAATTTATGAAAATTATCAGAAGACTAAAGTCATTCCTTAAAATCAACTGCAATTAAACAAAATTAAACATAAAAGCGAAGCAACTGAAAACATCGAATGTGAATGTGGACATTTGCGCCAAAAGTATGGATGCTTAAATCGGTAGGCAAGTGTTTGTAGATAGGCCTTTATTCTAGTTATCAAATATGAAATACCAAATGAATGAATTTAATTCATTAAATATTTGAATAAATAATTTTTGAACTGATAAAATAAATTTTAGTCTTTTGTGTTTATTCCACGATCTGATTGTTAATTTCCACCAGAAAATATCAATTTTACAGGGAAAAAACTATGACAATAAAAATATGAATTTATAAGCAGAAAACACTTATAAATTAAGTATTGATTAAAGCATTGATTTTTTAATCAAAAAAAAAAATGCAACTTCCGTGAGGTATAATTTACTGTTCTTACTACCATAAAGATTGATTGATAACAAAAATTTTAATTGCCTTTAAATGAAAATTGAAATCCTTTAAAAAGAAAGTTCTAAATAAAAGATAACCTAAATTGAAAATTTTGATTTTACTGGTTTTTTTTATAAATTTGGTCAGAAGGTTTTAAAAGAATTGAAAAGTAAGATAAAAAATTAGAAATATTTGAGATAAAATATAAGTATTAATTAATAATAATATCTAAACTATTTTTTTTTGATTCGGTTCAATGAATTCAACAAATACATAAACAAAAAAAAAAACTGAAAAATGGATATCGCGTGAGAAGCTAATTTGAAGCTAACTTATTTTCAATAGTGATTTGCATAGAATTATAAAAATAAAATTTGGTCAAAAAAGTACTACGCAATATCATCAGAAATTCATTTATGAAAAGAAACAAACAAACAAACAAAATTCGAAAATTTCGAACGATTCATTCATTCATGTGTTAATTTTATTTAATTTTTTTAAATTATAATAACTAATTTTTAATTTCATCTTCAATAATTCACAAAAAATCTTCTAAAATACAAACAAGTCAACAAATTTATGAATAAACAAATTTTATTTGTTAATATTAGCCTACCATTTGTAACTATTAGCTATTAGTTTTGTTTAAAATTAAAAACTAAGTTTAACTTTAAGTCTAATATTTAATAGTACAAATGATACTATTAGTTGAAAAGCTTACGTAAGCATTCGTTCAACTTTTGTTTACCTTTACTATTTCACTATTTTGTGTAGAGAATTCTTTCTATCATCTATCTATCGTCCCTTTTCTGTTTTTTTTTTTTTTCTTCTTTTCCTGAATGTCATTTCATCCTTTTTTGTTATTCGTAATGCAAAAAATTTTTCAAACATTCTCATATCATTCCTTTCTTTCTTTTTTTTTTTGCTTCAATCGTTTAAATTTATTAAATTATTCAGATTCTCTACTGGAAGAAGTCAAATAACACATTCTGATCTTTTAATTTGAGATAAGATGGAGATTAAAATGAATATGCAATTAATTAATTAATGCATTTAATTTATCTATCCAAAAAGAAAGAAAAAAAAAAGCGAAATATCCTCTGATTAAACATTATAGATGATGCTTATATCTATGCTTCATTTTAAACATAAAATAAAATTTGCATCGTTTATTTATTTTATTTTTTTGATTTCTTATTTTAGATGAGAATTTCAAGTTAGAAATGTTTGTTAGTAAAACTCTAATACATTTGAAGATTCTTTCTTCGTCATTTCATTACACCAAACTCTAGCTAGCTAGCAAGCTATTTTCAAAATATTGATTCACTCACTTCAAGCTACTACCACATGGTTGAATGTTGTTATATGTTCTCCCTTTGATGCTGTTGGCCATTCCTTCCTTGACAATAATGATATGTTTTCAGGCTTTATATTCATTCTCTAAAAATTTTTTTTTTGAAAAAAAAGCTCTCTGAATTTCTAGTATTCTTTTCTTTTACAAATCCTACAAATTATCATTTCCATCAGATAAAAAAACGGCCAATAATGCTTGAGGGAAAAGTAAACAAATTGAAATTTTATATTTAGATTTTTACGAAATTCTATTATTCTATAATGTGAATTTATACTAAAATTAAACTAAAATTTAAATTAAATTATTTTTTTGACTACGTTTAGATAAATGAATAATCAGGAAGTAAAACCGGATCGATTGTTATTTATTGCTGTTTTTTTTATTTTTCAGAAATGGTTGACTTAAAACAACAGCTTGATATGTTAGACTATCTTGGCCCGATTGCTGTTTGGATTTCATTCTTCTCCATAACATTTATAATCTCAGTGACATGTATTTTATGGTGTTGCGTATCTGAAACAGATGACAAAACTGTTTTTGCTAAGGTTTGAAAGTTGGAACATTCATTTACAAAAATTGTTATTTGATGATAAAATTGAATAATTGATAAGGTTAATTTATATTTAATTTCTTTCATTATTTTATACTTATCTATCATCTTTGTCCATTTAAAAATTCCTTCAAAATTCTCTTCTCGATAAACATAATCTGATATAGTACTATCCCATACAAACTTATCACTGTAACTTTCAGAAGTTTCAATCGAAATCTTCTGAATCATTTATTCATATCCTTTTTGATTATTACTTGAGAAATATTTAGTAGTAAAAGAAAAAAAAAATTTTTTTTTCCAATACGCAACGAGAAATCTATGAAATAAATTTCTAATTTTTATTTATCAGATCCAATAATTAAATTAGCAGAAATTTTCATGAACTCTTGTAACAGAAATTAAATTTTCTTTACAGAATTACTTTTATTAAATGCTTCATCACTCAGTGACAGAAAAATTTTAATCTTATTCAAAAAAAATTTTGATCCTTTTAAGAGGTGAATTTGACTTTGAAGACAATCTTATTTTCATCTCACAAATTTTTATACATTATAGCTTTTGATATTTAAATTACTTCTGATATAGAGAAAGCTTGATAGTCAAAATTTCGAATTTCGAGATGGCTTCATTTTTATGAAATGACGTATGCATAATTAGCATTTTCTTTTTTTTTTGAAGTTCTATAGATTTCTTTTTATATTCTTGAATTGCTTTCATCGTTTATCCAATGGAACTTTTTGCAATCATTTAGCGTTTTTCGTTATTCCGGAAATTTTTCTTTTTTTTTTTTATACGTATACAGAGAAGTTCACTCTATTTTTGCATTTTTAATTTGCTGCAGATTTCCGAAAACTTAAATAGTCTAATTAAACTTCTCTTCCCTTTTTCTCTCATCGGATAGCATTAATAGTTCAAAAAAAAAAAAAAAAAAAAAAAATGATTTGATTGGAATATTTGCTAAATTTATCAATCAAAAAAATATGAGCAAGAATTTTCAGACGATATTCATATAGCACTTTTCGTAAATTTAATTCTCAGATTTCATTTTTTCTTTAGCCTCTGATTACTTCAAATTATTTCGACTAATTAAATTTTAAAAACTGTTGTTTAGATTAATTTATTACAGCTATTCTTATTTATTTCAGTGGGGCATGGGACCAAGGCATCAACTAACCGTCGCACAGCAAAAATATGATTCAACTTCAACTCATAAAGCTTTATAAAATATAAATGCATTGGATTAGTTTAATCTCACCTACTACATTTGATTTATTTTAACTTTTCATCCTAAACTTTCATTGTTTGTAATTAAAATTACTTTTTCCTTCCGTTAATAAAAAAAAAAAAAAAAAGCTTAATGAATAATGGAAATAAAATAGTTTAGAAGATAATAGCAATAGATAAGTTATAACTGAAACGAATATTTTTATTGATTTGAAGCAAAACTGAATTGGTGTTTTTTGATAAATCATTGAATCAAACAATGTTAAATCATATTTGCAATTTATGTTAAATATGAATTTTATGGCTTAGTCGATAATTTCATTTGTGCTATTAATTTCAATTAAAATAGTTAATTTTATAATTTCTATCTTTCATTATTTATTGTATATCATATAATTTATACATTGTTATTCAAAAAAGAAAAGTGTTTTTTGTTAACACTTATCAAGGAGTATCATTTGACAAAGGTTAATGATGTGATAGCAAATTAAGCAAGTGTTGAGATTAATCAGAATTTGGCTGATCTATTTTTGCAATATTATTTATGATAATTAGTCATTCCAAAAGTTGCTTTATTTTTTTTTTTTTTTTTCATTTGCTTGTTTATTATCATAACTGATAACGTTTATTTGATATAGAAAAACAATAAAGGATAGGGTTTTCGCTTATTGTTATTTGCTAAAGAAGTTAGCATTATCATTTATTTTTAGACCATTTGCAATCTGCCAATTAATTAATTATTGCTTAATATAAGAAGTAAATGTTGAAATTACTAATCCATAACAGAAAATTAAAAAAAAAAAAAAGTCGATTTTTTCTTTCATGTAAATGATCTGTTTACACTGAAAGGTAGTTATTATATATTTCAAACTTTCATATGTGTCTTGAAAATTCCTAGTGAATAACAGATAAAATTTGATGTTCTAGGAATGATTTTAACTTCTGCATCTTCTTATTATTTCATTTTATTTAACAAATACTTTTAAAAATTTTTGATCTTTTCATTCGGCTAATTAATTGCTTAAATTTGTTAATTGCACAAATAATGCCAATATGGACTGAAAGCATTCAAATTACAAACATTCAGCAAAAAATATATATGTATTAAATGAAAAAACCAAGTGATTTAATAGTATAATAATCTGAATTTACGTAGTAGTTGCACTATCGTACGTATGCAAACGCATATTTACGAAACGTGTAAAATTTTCACGTACGCTTTTTTTTTTTTTTTTTTTGTAATCATAGATTCGAAATTATTGATACGGCTATTTGATTCGTACTGTAATGAAATATCACATCATAATAGTCATCAACCTTTGAGAAGAGCCAAAAAATTCAGTAATCTGCGATGTATTATTTGTTTGCTTTTATTAAAATTTACTTTGCATCTTCCTTAGCAATTAAAAATAAATGGATACAAAATTTAAAGAATATGTTTGATTTTACTAATATTATATTTTAATGAATGGTTTTTTACATTTCCAAAAATAGGAAAATTTTGAAATGCTTCCGCTAATCTTAGACTTTCTTCTTCTTATTCAAATGTAATTCATAAGATGCAAATAAAAGTTTCTGTCCAGTTTTTTTTTTTTTTTTATTTTATTTTTAAATGATTAAAGCTATTTGACAGGATGGCCAATATACTTCACTCTAGTCATTCCTATTCTCTCTAACGCTTCTGTGTCAACAATCATGGAATGCTAATTTTTTTCCTTTTTTTCAATTATTTTCATCGCTTGCATCGAAAGCATCCCCTTTTCATAATAGCAGTAGTAATAAATGAGCATACAGAGTACGATGTGGTTGAGGATATTCTCGTCTATCACAACAAATATGTTTGATTAAAGAAAGATGAAATAAAGAATGCTATGAAATTGAAATTGATTAAATGATTCCATCGATCATATGAATCAAACTAACAGTTTTATGTTTATGTTATGAAGAAATGAGCTAATGTTAGCAAATCACTTTGTCATGTATCATTGAATATTAGTATCAACAAACCTGAATGATTCAAAAAGATTTATTTTTAATTGTCATTTTTGAAAATATTATGTTATATGCATTAATCTATGTTATTATTATTTTTTTTTGCTTCTATTTCTCTTTTTCTTTAAAAAAAAAAAAAAAAAAGGAAAAAACTGCTTGAAAAATTTGTCTTAAAATTAATTATTATATATATAGCATATGCCACAATTTTGTGTCGCCAGCTGATTAATAACCATTGTCACATGAACTGAAGCAACAGATATATCACAAACGTTGATAATAATTCAATTTTATTACCTTTTTGTACTCCTATATTATTTGTGTTATAAAAACAGCAAAAGAAATAAAATTATCCAAACATTCTGCAATAAAGTTGGTGCTTTATTTGAATTCATAGCTAGAAGGAAAGAACGATTGAAATGAGCAGATCGTCTCGAAAATATGCTAAAAATAAACTTTAAAAATGTCCAATAAACTGAAGAAAACACTTTCCATCAATTAGATCATCAAATAGCATTTTGATTATATTTTAATGATTTGAACAACTAATGCCTTCTTTATAAACAAATCCTCAACTTTCAATGGGAGAAAAAATAAACACATTGTTTGGTACTGTAAAGATCTGATACTATCGTCCGGTACCGTAATTGGTTTGATACTGTTGTTCGATACTGTAGTGATTTGATAGAACAGGAGTTTAGCAATTATGTATTTTAGATTTACATTTTTCGACTTTAATTATAACTTAAAAAAAATTATATATCGAATGATAATTTATTCTTATTTTGCATTAAAAACTAGCTGCTTCAATAAAGCTGTTGGATTTGTAGAACTAAATTGAAGGAAGTTGAATGACCTTCCAATTTCAAATTCTCTATGATGAAGTGTAATCGTAGGGAGTGACGCAAATCATAAAGTAAACAATTTAAACCTTTTTCATTCCTTTAGATTTGCGTAACAGAAAGATATTTAAACATATAAGATCGGGAAAGTTGCGAAACAAAGAAAAAATCACCATCAATGATTTATTTCTTAGAAATATATATTTTCTCGTTAGGAATATATTTAAAAAATATATATGTATGCTTGATAAACAAATTATCGTTTGGTTGTTTTAATGAACTAAAATTTTATTGAGTTCAATAAAAAGCATCATTATTGGTTATGCTTTGAGAAACTTTACTCGTCCAATTTCATTAGAAAAAAAAAAAGAAAAAAATTGGAAAAAATAGCAGAAGGAAAAACATCAGCTGATAATCTTTCAATAATGTTTATATGAATACCGCCTTTCACAACTGCACATATAAAACTTTTGTTTCATATATGAAACAGCTGACTTTTTATGTAAGTAAACATTTTTAATATTAATATTAAAAAAAATCGTTTGCCTTGTTAATAATAATGGTTCCTTGGTGTATCATCGTTACAATCGAAAGTTCATACTTTTCTGCAATTTCTTTATAACATCTGAACGAGTTTCAAAAAAAAAAAAAAAAAAAAAAAAACTAAAATTAAATACTGCTAATTTTCATTAAAACAAATTTTGACTCAATTTTTTTTTACTAAAAACCACATGAAAGTTTTGCTAATGAAAAATTTATGCAAAATTATTTATTTGACTTTCTTTTTCAGCGGAAGAAATTGCACTATGAATTTTTGTTAGACATCGTTAAAACTTTGCATCGAAAAAAGCCAAAAATATTATTTATTTCCTTATTTATGGCGAAAATAGAAAGATGACCAATCCAAGTGATATTTTATGATTAAAAATAAACAATCTTAAGCAGGCAAAATTTAGCTACAAATAATCCAAATTTCATAAATCAACTAGGCTTCTATTTTTGAATACTAAAAAGTCTCAGAACATCTACAACATACACTCTCTTTCTTCTTTTTGATCAATAAAATAAGAAAGTACTAAGATTACTCAATTTTTGGCCACACAATAAATTTTTGCCCTATTTCGTCCACCATTAGATTTATTATGTCAAACTGTTGGACAAATCAATACGCATTCTGCCTGATCAGTACTATTTGATAGCTTATAACCCAATTTAACATTACATCGACATCTACTGCACAGTAGTCCATCACATTTGATGACATTTTCATTGAATTGTTTCGATTTCGATTCTTCCCTCTTATTTGAGTTGGAAATGGTAGATGGACAAATTGGAACTGAATGCTTCTCATTGCGTCCCAGACGAACCAGCACTTCCGAATGTTTGCATTGCACTATAAAAAATTGAAACTAATATTGACTGTGTCAAAAATGAGAATTAAATATTGAAAATTAAGCAGAAAATATACAACAAATTTGATATTTAGGTTCTATTCTTAAGAAGACCATCATTCAATAAATCTAAAAATAATTTAAATAAAATTCACTTATATCAAAAGCCATTTTAGATGTTATGCTTGTAACTGACTCTTTCTTTTCCAATTAAAAATATTTGGCTGAAACAGTGAAATATCACAGATAACATGAAATGTTGATCTAGAATTTCTAATCTATAAGTATTATATGTCTAAATTCACATAGATTACATTCTATTTAGACTTTTGATATGATGATATGATCTAATTTTGCTTATTTTGGATTTGTTAATATTAGATGTGAATAGATTCGGAATTAGTTTGTTTGACGGCTTGTATAATCATTTTATATACCTGTTAAATAACATTTGGAATGTATCTTTAATAATTTTCTGTTTCGTTATTATATTAATTTTAATTTTATTATAATAAATATGGGTTTCCAGAAAACATTAAAGAAAAATTGAAAAAAAATGAAAAACAAAAAACTCAAATATTGATTTTATTCATGTATTATCAGAAAACGATGAATTATTTACTAGTTCAAATATCCAAATGTCATACCTTTTGCAAAACATTTCTCCATATATATTAAATAGAAAACACCAAGAATCTGTAATGAAATATTTTATTTGAGGAAAAATTGAAATTCTTCATACTACAGGAAAATTTATACCGATCTTAATTCTACAACTGTAATTTTAAAATGAAAATCAACAATGAATTGAGAGAAAAAAAGATAAAATGCAAAAAAATTTTCACTTATTTTTACGTAAAATTTCACGCTACCGCGTATTTTCCTACTTTCCTACTAAAAATGCAAATCAATACTCACCGAAATAATTGCTTTTTTTCCCATATTTATTCAAATTGAAACAATTGCCCAATTAGAAAATGTGAAAAACGTACGAGTAGCAACCAAGAATTATGAAATATTAATACGATATGAAGTATTTTCTTTCTTTTTTTTTTTTTTAGAAAACCGAAAAGGACGCTAAAGAATATTTTCGATATATTAAATGATTGCATCTCGCATACTAATATCTTTCCCCTACTTAAATTTGGAGTGCATTTAAAAAATAGATACAGAGATTGTCAAGAAGAGCCGTACTCATAAAAAAAGAATCAAATTTCTTCCTTAAATTTCACTATGATAAAAAATCAATAGGAATGATTACATATTGCCATCTGCATCGATTAGAATTAAAACAATCGAATCTCTTCGCATGTATAAGCACAGATTAATGTGTGAACTCTTTGTTCTGTGAGAATCTTTTTCATTTCTACTCTCATAAATTAAACATCTCTATTTCCAAATATTTCATATCCATTATTTTCAACGATTAAATTAGATGCAAAACTGCTTTACACACACATACACACATACACACACACACACACACACACACACACACACTGAAAGAAGCATATTTCACTGTTTAATAATTAATTTGGAAAAGAAACAACAAAAATATGGGTCATCTGTCTATCTAAACAATATGGACAGTTCCAGTTAATAGACCTATTCCAAGAAATCTAAGGATTGGATCGAAATACTGAGATGAGATGAAATGCGGACAAATCAGTGGAGTGTTTTATTCGTTTATCTTTTGTATACATACCCTTGGAAATTTAACGAAGTAACAAATTATTAGAAACAAATCAAAAATTAAAGGAAGACTTATTCATGCGTAAAGAAAAGACAAAAAAGGAGAAAGCAACAATATGATAGTTTAAAGTGTCAGGAAAAATAACGAAACTTAATTTCTGTTATCAAAGATTTGATCCATTTTGAGAGAGGATGAAATTACATTATTGTGGGTGTGGTTTTCAGATTAAAGTTATAAAATCGTAAAATTAGACAACCATTTTAATTTTTTTGAAATAAAGACTTAAATTAGCAAATCGAGTCTTTTGCAGTTGTGGCAGATTACTTGTAAGAAGAGCAACACTATGACCGTCACATATTGAGAAAATCCGAAACAAAGCAAGTGATAAGCATTCAGCATCTTCCAGACATTCCGAAATAATAAAGGGTGCCACCTGAAATGATAACAATCGATTAGTTCCAAGTAATAAGAAATAAATAATAACAGTTAAGAGATTAACAGATTCATCTAAATACAATATACCATAACTTTTGTATTACATTTACAATCTGCACCAAAATTTTACATAAATAAGTGCGCAAATGTTCCTCAAAACTGATCAAGGCATGGCTGAAGCTTAGTACATTTACTTTGGTAGCCAAATACACTTCCACTTCCCAGTAAATTTCTCTTATTAAACATTCAAAGACAATGCAAATTTCGACAAATGCGTTTTCCTTTATTAATAGATATTTCGAGTTGGGAATATCATATTTTGGATTTGGTATCTTAAAATATTAAAAATGATAGAGTCTCATTAAACAAAGGGAGAGCAAAAGAAGACAAAAGAAGAGATATGGGGAAGAAGGAAAAGAAAAAAAATGAACTTTCTGCTTTAATCCATTTCACTAACAGCAAAAATCAGCATATATTTGATAAACACGATCATATGCTTCCTATTTCTTTTTATTCATCTAATCATATAATTTCTCTTTCTTCCTATTCCTTTTTTTCTTTTAGATGGAATTGCTGAAGTTTGGTTATTTAGAAGTGTCAGATTTTTTTTTGAAGTTTTTTGTTGGTGATTTTCGTCATCATTCAATCTGAATTTTTTTCAAAGTTTGTTATTTCTTTTCCTTCTTTCTGTATTTTGGATTTGTGGATTAATTTTTCCTTTGTTTAGTCCTTGAGCTAGTGTCCTCTAATATGAAGCAAAAGAAAGAAGAGAGAGAGAGGAAGTGTTTACGAGACACTGTTCCATTAATTCTTTCACCTTAGTAAAAGTAAAAAAAAAAAAAAAAAAAAACTGAAGAATCCAACTCTTGAACACTGGTAAATATGATAAGGTGGTATACTGTGTTGATGGTAATAATTTTCCTCTTTTACTTTCTCACATTTTTCCTTCCTTCCTTTTCTTTTACTTTCTCCCATTTTCTTTTCCTCATTGTAAAATTTTTTTCTATCATCTAATTGTTTTTCATCATTTTCTTTTCACGAAAAATAATACAGTGAATTCTGGTTTTAGATCTCCATTTAAATGCTGCCATCTAAAAACAAGGAAAAAAGAAAGTCATTTTTCACATAGGCCACTAAGAAAAATTTTTTGCTGCAACGAAAAAAAACAAATACTAAGAAATACAATGAGAAAACACAAGTATTTCATGGGTAATGATAAAAAAAAAACTTACCCGGGAAAACGATCGTTCATATTTTACCATTTCGCCAGCAACTTTAGCAAATCCATAAGAAAGGTAACGAGTAAACTGAGGATTGATTGTCTGTGTATCATTTATATATTTCTGAATAGCTTGTCCAACACATACAAACAAGTTTATGTACAACGAGCACTGATCATTAATCACAGAATGGGCACCAAATCGTAAACAATTCTGAAAAGCAAAAAATTTTATTAAACGCATATATTCCAATTATGAAAATCAATGTCGACTTCATTTCTATTAAAAATCTGAAAATCACTTGATGTACACCATCTCAATCCAATTTTTCTTTATTTTCAGACGAACTACTTTTTTTATATTAAACTAATATTGAACTACTTTTTATTTTCCAATTGGAATCAGATCTTCACTGCGACAAAAGGATGCATTATTATTATCCTGCAAGCACTTCTCAGGGTTATGTCATTCCTTACTATCTTCATTTTTAATATAAACTTTCCAGGGGTCTATAATTCGCAATGCAATCACAGTGATTTAAATATCAGTTTTCTGCATAACTTTCTATAAAGTAAATCTTCGTATTTTCTTAAATTTGTTATCCTTCATATTCCAACTCTCTATTAAACAGAAGAGAAGATACGGGCACTGGAAGTGCGGCTTCGATCTTATTATATTCTTTTTCTTCACAAAATTCTCTATATACTGTAAGATTCGTATTTTACAGAAGATTTAAAATTCAATCACTGGAATTTATTTTTGATTGTAAGATCTGACTTATTGTCATGGAAAAATAAAAATGCCAATAGGATACATAATTCAATAGGTATCAAATGCCAATAGGATACATAATTCAATAGGTCCACCTGGTCCACCAGGGCCTCCTGGACCACCAGGACCACCTGGAGATGCAGGACCAGACGGAGCACCAGGCCTGGGAGGTGGAGCCGGAGCACCGGGTCCAGCAGGGCCAAAAGGACCACCAGGACTGCCTGGAGAACCTGGGCCACAAGGACCACCGGGTCCACCAGGAGAGGATGCGCCAAACGAAGGCATCATTCCAGGAGAACCTGGACCACCAGGTAAATTCTGCGATTTAAAATTGTAGAAAAAAAGTATTAGTGCAGCCATAGTGAAGGGAATTATGGTTTATCAAATGTGTGGAATGAAATCTTGAAACTTACACAAATATTTCAGGCGATATAGGACCACCTGGGCCACAAGGCCCACCGGGACAACCAGGTGCCGATGGACCGCCGGGACCAGCTGGACCGAAAGGACCGCCAGGACCGCCCGGACAACCCGGTGCCGATGGCCAACCTGGAGCACCAGGAGAACCAGGAGAACCTGGTGCTCCCGGTGAAAAAGGTATCTGCCCGAAATACTGCGCCATCGACGGTGGTGTTTTTTTCGAGGACGGTACTCGAAGATAAATCAATCCAATGCTCAAATCTATATTATGTGAATTAAAAATGAAAATCTTTTACCTTGTTACATTTTTTGCAGTACAGTTATGGCTCACATTGCATTTTTAAAATTGTTTCAGAAATTTGCCCTAAAACGACCGAATAAGGTTGCAATAAAGAAAACAATCCTCTCAGAATCTTGAAATACATTGCATTTCACTTTAATTTAAGGTAAAAAGTAAGGAAAGTAGTTGAATTGTTATTCAAGAAATCACTTAGCAAAAGTCATAAAATTCAGTTGTTAACAAGGTCCAATTCAAACGAATAAAACGCGGTCACACCTGTTTGTCGCATATAAGTTTTTATGAACTAAAATTAATGTTAAAAAGTCATAACATTATTTTGTTAGGCCCGTAATATAGCGCACTCAAGAAGTTACTCATAAGTTGAAGAATCGCTGAGAATTAAACGACAGTTGTTTGTTGATAATTGCAAAGCGTACCATTCAAATTATTCCGTAATTATTTTCTTTATTTTCCTAACATAAAAAAAAGACTCCTACCATTTTCCGATCAGAGCAATTTTCTGATTAAAAATTTTTTAAATGTATCTCTAAAAACTCAAACATTATATTTCTGCATTAATTAGAATGACTTTTCAGTGGGTAAAATTCGATACTGTTCCACCTTCCCGTTCATCTATCCCTTTCTTGTCCTTAATTTACCTCCATCATTTCGTCCCTTCATTAGTAACAGTAATAAATGAATGTCATTTAATGAGAAATACGAAAATTGCTCTTTGCTTAATGCTTTTGTTTCATCATAAATGTAAACATACATACAATTCGTAACAAACCTGTTTCTAGCAAACTGTTCCTGTATAGTTTATAGCTAATAGCTCTATGCAGAAATGTATATTTTAAATTTAAAAAGTCTTCTTTGAAGAATATATATGTACGGTTAACTACACAATTAATCCCAATGAATATATACGGTTAACTACACAATTAATTATAATGCTTACCAGAAGAAGAGAAAGAGTTTTGCGTAGCGCTACAAAATTTGAGGATAACGATTCACAGTTCACTGCAAGAATTGCTAAAGCAAATGACACAAAATCTCTCTCATATGCACTACCAGTGGCGACCTAGAAAGTGTTAGAAGTTCAAACTTTTAATTAAATTCATACAATCTGTTGCATATAACAGATAGGACAAATAATGAAATTACATGAAAAGTTGATGAGATCGATATTAACCCATTTATAGTCGAGCATTTGATCAAATCAGAATAAATTTGATAAACTACATTATTTGGATCACATAAAAAAGTAAGCAGAGAGGGAGATAGTAAAGTGTAGCAGCCTGTAAAAAAACCTACCGGAAGAATATGCCTCAGAAAATCAATAGCTGTCAGATAGTCTCTTCCAGCAATATCTACTACTATTTCCAGTACATCTTTAAGTACAGCAAATAATAGTTTTCTCTTTTCTTCATTTTGATGTTTTGCCAATGCAAAATATAATGCAAATTTTTTCGATGGTTGAAGATCGTGCGAAGATGAGTGTAGCAAATTTTTCAACTAAAATAAATAATTATTAGACATCTTAGAACATTGTTATTGGCTGGGGTATGCTGAACTGATAAAGAACCAAACTCTGATACTACACAAAGTTTGCTTTAACAGTTCGTTCAACGAATTAATATCATAAGATAGTTAATTGAATAGAGAATAATACTAACCATTTCCACCGATGCAATACTGATAATTTCGTTAATATTGGATTCATCATAGAATTCGAAATATTTAACATATTTCCAGGAAATGATATGCCCGAGTTTACCTCTTTTTACCATCCATAAAATGGATCTTTTCAGCAACTGTGACATCTGCTCAGATATTATTCCAAGCCCTATCAGTCTATCTGGGTGTTTACAAAGAGCTTTGCACAGCTGAAATTGATTTATAGTTTGCTTGTATCTAAAGTAGTAACATAAGACAAATTTTTTCAACAAATTTTTTTTTCTCAAATTTTTTATTGATTTTTCTCAGATTTTTTATTGCTAGTATGAAAGTAGAATTGCTAACTTCTGAGAAATTATCAAACAAATCAATATTCTAATTAAATTAGTAAGAGCTTCAGCATTACAAGTTCTATGAAAAAGTATAATAATAGAATGTATTCTCACTTTACCTAGTAAGAACTTAATTTTTGTCTCGATTTTTTTGTCTAATTTAAAATTTTCACTAAATTCGGTACTAAAATAAAAAAAAAATCTTACTTGATCGGCGTTTGTGACATGTTCTGCTATATTTTCAATCTCTTCTTCAGTTACTGTCGTATCATTATCTTGCAAAGTTTTCACAACTAATAACATTGATAAGGATAATTCAAAAAGAGATAATTTTATTTCATCCATGCAATCGAGAGGAGAGACCAATCCATAAACATGTTGGAAAATCTACGAAAAAAATAAAATGGTAGCAATAAAGTCAAACTGTAATGAATTAAGTATAGAAAAGTTCGCGAAGATTTTGCCGGTTTTCTGTGAAAAATATTCCATATAATAAAGAAATCAAAAACAGTCTCTCTGAGATATATATTTATTAAAAAGATTTAAACTTTTGTGTAAGATTACCTCTTCGGCAGAAATTCGTAATGCACTGTTTTCTCCTGCATTCATTTCGCGATGAATTTCATCAAACGTATCACATAGAGGTTTTAAAAAGTAGTATTCCTCTTCAATTAAAGGTCTTTGTACCGCAGCTTTCAATATAGCGTCAGACTAAAAAATTATTTCCCATAAATACTTACTATATTTCATTAATCATAATTCAATTAGCAAACACTATGCTATATCGTTTCAAAATTACTTTTTTGGTATTGGAGAACTGCAACGTTCCAAAGATATCCAACTACCTGTTGTTAGATAGAAAAAAAAAAAAAAAAAACCTTGACAGCAAGCATATCACGACTGCAACCACTAAGCAGGAATTCTTTAACTAGGATTTGCGTGCTTTTTGAGTAATTATTCGAGCAACCACATCGAAGTAAAATCTTGATATATTTTTTTAGTATTTTTTCTTTAAAGCTGTTTATTAGAACGCGAAATAATTTCGTATCCGATCTAAAATGATAGCTGATAGGCTAGGACAGTGATGTTTTTTAAAAACAGTAATGTTTTAAGAAAAAATTTTTCATAAAAACTATAACTTCTGAAAAATATAGCAAGAAAACATTGCAGTAGTAAACTATACTTCATGCATTGCTCAACTCAAACACGAACTTTTCTTAGCATAAATCCCAAAACTAACCTCATTATCGACAGAGTACTTTCAATCGCAATTTCAAACAATTCCGATGATATGCAAGGAATCAACGAGATCAAAACACAAAATAATGCCACTCGCAGTGAAACTGGTAGAGATTTTAACGAATATCCTCTTCCACAAATTGACTGAACAATTTGGCAAAATCTTTCATCAGATGACAAAGTATGATGTGAAGGCGGAATGAATGAAGACATTATTATTTTCCAAGAACTGCAATAATATAATTCTTATGTAAATATTGTTCATTAAAAATAATTCGCACATAAGAGAAGTATCTCAAAAATTCTGAACTTTTTTATAAGCTATATTGATATCCATATTGTCCTCCACCCAATTTTTTTAAAAAATGGGAATTTATTAATAAGTTTACTTTCCCTTTTATAAATTTGCATTTATTTCGACAACTCTATGAGGATGCAAAAGGAATATACATATGCATCCCATCCTTAAAGTGAGAAAAAACGAAATCATTAAGTCCCAGACTTGAAATTAAATAGACCCTAATAATGAATCAAAATGATCAATTGATACTTTCAGATTTGGCATGAAATTGGAAAAATATCAAAAGGATAGAAAACTTACTTTAGTTCATCTTCATAGCTCTTATTTGATATGGACAATATTCCTACAACATTTTCTCTGATCCAAATTCCAACATTTCCTTTTTGCTGCGCAAAATTTTCATCTGTTAACAATGATAAATTCAACAGCAAACAACGAAAAAAAGGCTGTACTACTTTGGAAGCATAGGCATCAGTTAATCTCGAATGACGAAATATCGACTGGATCAGCAAATACAGCTGAAAGCATACATACTTGAAAAAGCAATAAATTACTTTGGCAATCATCAAGATGAGCTAATAATGCTAAATTACAACATTATTGAAATTTTTAAATCAACATTAAAAATAAACGATCAATATGATTTTTTTTTTTTTGATTAAAAAATGAAGTCAATGTCTCAGAACATATAAAGATTTCTAATTACTAAATGCTTTCTAAACATAAACGTCTTAAAATTTTTTGAAAAATTACGTCATTGTTCTCCAGATGGAAGGCAATCAGAATATTTAATAACATTTCGCTTTGGCTCGGTTGGCAGTGTGACAGAAGTATGCCCAAGTTCGCTTTCAACAATATCAGAAACTAAAAAAGAAAAAGTTTAATCGGAAACCACTAATATCGACATATCTTCATAGACAGACAAAAATCATGGTTTACAATTAAAATAAAAAAAAAATAGACTGCAAAAAACGAATGTTATTTGATATTGTCTGATAAAAGATACCTGCTTTCGGGTGCTAAGTGAAAGATCATCATTTTCTTTAAGATTACTCAAAGAATTTTCTAAACATTGCATATGTTGCGTGCAGTCGAAATCCAACGAACTCATAACCAAAACAGTACATAAATTGAAGTGAGCTGATTTCATACATACCTGATAAAAAAATGAAATAACTTGCCAGCATGAGTAGTAAAATGATATGAACTAAATTCTGCAAATAATCAATAAAGTGAAAGAAATAGCAGTGGTTAAAATGGAAAAGTCTGAATATAGAATGCAAAATTCTTATAAAGATACAGTCAATTCCAGGATATATGAATAATAAGTTATATAAAATGATAAAATAGAGTAGTTAATTGATGAACGAACTAGATTTAGAGCATCTGCGCAAAACTATGATTTTACAAATTTAAAACATTCTTAGAAAAACCAATTTTTTTTTTTTTGTCGTCAGAAACCTGAATAATATCTATCAAGGAAATTCAAAGGAAATATAACAAACTTCTGGAAGTAATAATTTATTCCAAACACTTTGAAGAGTTTCTCGATCGTATTCGTCAGAATAAGCGGCTAGAAGAGCGACTGAGTAGAAGATTACTTCCGCAACAACAGAAGCTATGGAATATTGTTTCATGAGACAAAGATGGCAATAAGCTTGCGGAAGAATTTCATGAAGCAATAACTGGAGTTGTTTATTTTGCAACAAATCTGTACAACATATAAGATGTTTCAGTAGAAAACAGTGATTTCTGAAAATAAAAAACATAAGAAGTTACCTCGATAACTTTTTTCTATTTTTTTTTTTTTTTTTAGAATATGTTAGTTTCCTTCGCAGTGAAGTTATCATAAGTGGTACTAGGAAAAGAGGCAAAGCCATCTTTGCGTTTCATTTAAATTTTATTCAACCTTATTGAAAATAATCTTAACATAACCTCAACCACCCAATAAAATCAATTGACAAGTAGACAAGGTTTCCAATTCGCACGAAATTAAAGCTATACAGAAACATGAAAACATACTGAAATTCTTAAAAATATCAAACCTTATTCCTGAAGTGTTTTTCATGAGAAAATCAATCCATTTTTTAGCATAACTGCAAACAGTTGAAAAACTCATAACGACGAATTCTTTTCGTAAATATGTCAGAAATATTTCATTCATTTCAAAATCTGGGCACTCCACTGAAAGATCCGAAACTGCTTGTAAACAAAGATCTATCTGACCATTAGCGAATATTCTTAAAAGTTGTTCTGAAATTAATTAAGTTTTGAATTAAATATCATCGCTTTCATAAATTTAGAATTCAAACTCGTGTGAATTTATTCATGCGTCAAACTTGAATGGTATATCACTATAAAATATTTAAGGAGCAGAAAAATATAAAACTTGCGTGGAAGCGTACTACTCTCATTCTTCAGTATGCTGCATATTTCTTGTTTATTATACAGTTTTGCCTAAAGAATGAGAAATGTTAGAGAAATCAAAAATAACATCTAAAAAAAATCAGAGCACAAGCAAAATAAAATTTCAATATCCTTGAGAAAAAAAATTAATTAAAAATCCAAAATATGTGATTTCGTTGCTATGGTCTTTTTGACGTATTTCCAAATCAGCCATAATGCTACCTCTTGGTCAAGTTAATTAAAGTGAGTTAGCTTCCAATTATGTATTCTTGCTTTGTTATCTGAGTCAGATTTCAGAAAGTTTTTTTTTTTTTTTTTTTTTCTTAAAATATAATGAATTACATCAATTTTCTTCGATATTTTCCATCTGATTTTCGACTTCCCTCCATTCAGCGCCAGCGACTTCGAGTGGTTCTTGCAGTCTGACATTACTGTTATGATTAGGACGCAAAAGATTACGCGAAGTGGATAAAAAATTCAATGCCTCCTGATATATTCGCTTCCGCCGGATGTAAAAATAGATGTCAAACTAAACAAACTATAATTAAAACAATTTAAAAAAAAAACTTTAACAGTGTACTTTAAACATCATCTGTTACAATAAATACAATTTATTGATTTATAGATCATAAGACATGCATTGAACACAAACTAATTTAATGAAATATAACATAAATGTATGAGAACACCTATGAATTAAACCAAAGCATTCCATATGATATGTAGATGAAAACAAATATGCAGATGTATAGTTAGCTTTCCACTCATATTTTCCACTTATATAGGTTTATTTTAAGCAAATAAAATAAACTTATGCATATCGAAATATAAATTCAAAACACAAAAGGCTAACCTTTATAAGCTCTGGGACAGGAAGCCAATACAAAGCGTACTGCTGTTTGTGAAATAGTTCTCCGATATGCTCAACAGCTGCTTCAAACAACGTAGGCACTACAAAAATATATCAGGAAAAATACAAAAACAATAGTTTCGAAAAGCAAAAATAGCTATTCCAAATAAAATAATTTTCTTCATTAACGTTTGAATTTTACACCATAAAAAAATCAGTATTTAATGTTTTGACGAAACTGTATCCAAATGAATGAAGACATATACATCAAATTTTCCTTTCATTTATGTAATGTTAAATTGTGTTGAAGCCTTCAATTTCTCTGTAATTCTGCCAATTTCATCAAATTTGAAATATAATTACTAAATTAATTGCAAAGTCACTAAGAACATTATAGGAAGTGTAAAAACCTTTTTGAGTGATGAAAACAATTCCTGTATGACAGAGACGCTTAGTGATAGCAAAAACTTCAGTACGATCAGGTAAAAACTGTGCAGTTGCACCGTTTCGTATAAATCGTGCTACCCAATAATGTCCTGCAGTACGGAACAGTGTAATTAACTAGAGTGCGAATTTAATTTCCAATCCTACTTAAAAAATTTGAACAGTTCAAAATTAAAACAGATTTAGGTATTGTGATAAAATGCGTCCAAATTGCCAGCAGTTAAAGTACTAATACAAAATCACAAAAACTATCTTTACAGCAGAACTTGCTTAAAGTATATGAAGTTAGAAAAAGATACTTACCAATAAATGTGGTTAATTTCACTACTTCACGTGAGTCGAGCTTCAAATAATAAACTAAATTACCCTAAAAAAAAAGAACTGCAGACTGAAAATTCTAGCGATCACTCCTATCTGCATCTTAATCTTTAATATAAATCAGTGTAAATCAACCTTAACGGAGTTCGATGATAACTGATATTATTGTTATTGTGGTCAGAATATCTCACCTTGATAAGACATAAAATAACCCAAATTATAAACAGTAATAAATAAGCTAACACAAGCAGCTATCTGAATTTCAATGTGCTCATGTAATAAAGTATTACATACACAATACTTACTTGGAAATCAATCCAGCAAAGATCAACAGTATCGTTAGAATTATTGATAAATCGAATGTTCACTTCCTCAACGCTCCTAACAGACCTATATCCAGGATTGAAAATCTTTCCCACAATAAACGAGTCAACCCGAAATTCACTTGACATCTACTACGGCAACTCAACAATAATACACTCACCTGAAGTTAAATTCCTCAGTTAACTCCCTACAACATTGGACACAATTGCTAAATGAAACCAAACCATGCGAACTTTTAGGACCACAACCACCTGCACATCACGGTTCAGTAACATACTCCACCACTAACCTTGTTACCCAGGTAGCACTAAAGGATTTCATCAATTTCGAGTTAACTACTAGTCTTATGACAGAAAAAAACAAGCCAATTACTACGGGAAATCAAATTATATCGATCACCAACATCTTTCCACATGAAACGTGCATCAAAATTTACTCAAAACCAACTTTGCGCCCGTCCAAAACGATAATTTTTGTATGAAGTCTTGGAAAACGAAATGGTTTATAGAACCAATTTGGGAAGAATATTCATTGCCAACATATTTATCCAGCATATTTTCATACAATTACTAAAGAGTGAACATAAAACAACAAGCAAGAAGGGAATACGGCTGATGCCAATCAAAAATCATTGTTTTTCTTCAATGAGTGCCTCCTTCACAAGCATCAAATAGGGCACCTCACCATCTTCTTCATCTCGATATTCTACTACAGCTACTTGTCCCTCACCTTGACCTTCGGCCATACGCTCACCTAGAAAATAGTTTATTAAAATCTTGTTTGTTAAGCATGTTATAGAATTCAACAAGCCGACCGAAAGAAAATTGATAAGAGCGTATAAATCTAAGCTTTATTTTTCTAAATGTTTGAAATCAATTTTGCTTTAACAAATTAAACGTTGTACAGAATCAGACAACAAATATCATACCGATGAAGAACTGCAACTGTTTAAATCGGTCCTTGCTCAGAAGTGATACAACCCAAGCTTGAATCTTCCGCTTAAACTCGCTAATTTCTGCTTCCGATTTGCCATTTTTTTGCATTAGTTCAACTACTTTTTTCATAAATGATTTGCAGTACGACTTGAAGGTAGCCAAATCCTCATAACAATTCATTTCCTGCAGAAATCTGAATAACCTAAGAAAACTAAATAGTTCTTGAAACAGTAAAATTAACTTTGAAATCCATATCAGCATGAACATTCCAAACCTATAGAATTTTAAACCGATACGTGAAATGCAGTTATATGAGCAGTACTAAAACATTACTTGTAGCCGATGGTTGAGCACAAAATCGATACCCCGTTCAACACATTCTTCGCTACCTTCATCACCATCTTCACCTTCAGCTGAAGGATTTGCACCAGCAAGCTGAATTTCTCCTTCTCTCCTTACTACTTGCCGTCCTTTGAACTCCCAAATCAATCCATCTACTAACTTCATTGGGAACGAGTCCGACGCAAGCTCGTCATCTAAATATAAGTATTCAATTGAACATTTATTATGAATCATTTTATAATATTATCGCTGAGAAACGCAAATTCATATTCCAAAACCAGATATATAAATCTGTTTCACATCGATAGTATGGAAATTGCAATTTGGACATACAACTTACTAACTCATACGACAAAAACCCCTTTCATAAGTGTGACAAATAAGGAGAAAAATTACAACAATAAAATAAAACTCAATTCTTGATTTCATTTTAAAAAGTTGTAGGATAACAATTAAGATATATCGAAAGACATATTTCAGTTATCAAAACATGTTCTGCCACATTATACTCGTCCAGTGAACATAGAAAGCTACAAGCAGTATATTCTGTTCGCCAATAACTAGCTCACAGTAACTGTTCTCGAGCCTCGTTCATTGGACCTAAGGAATATGGCTAAATGGATAATCATTAAAAAACTAGTAGTTAAACATATATTTATCATTCACCCCATTTTCTCACTATTTTCGGATTTAACAAAATGAAAAGACACCTACCTGTGAATGCATCCTTGAAGATCAACATATCGTTGCAAGCACACTTCACTTGTTCATAAAATTTTTACCTAAAAACGAGAAACCGGGAATCTGAACACCTTACGAGTGAATCACACAAGTTCAAGCTGCGAATGACGAAGCATAACAACACTCATAAACCAATCATACGACCCCAAACTTCCGAGACAAAACACAGCACCCGACCCACCACTCCCCCACCTTCTTCACAACACTGATCAATTGTTTCCGACACGTCAGCACTCTCAAAGAGGAAAGACACCACTGACCTGGTCTATTCTCACTCATTCTGCACTATTCTCGTTATCAAATTCAAGCATCACCAAAACTGATTCTTTTCAATCGAATTAAACTAGCACATATAGGCGAAAACGCCATTCTTATTAACAAGAAAGCTCGCGGAAGTAGCAAATGGTATCAACAATTCTTGCAAAATAAATGGCAAAAAAGCAATATTTATTAAATCAACAAAATTCAACAAATAAGGGATGTATATAAGAAATATATGATGTACTTAATCGAAAAGTCCGAATCCCATATCTTCATCTTCTGATGATTCTTCCTTCTTGGCTTCTTCTTTCTTCGATGACTCTTCCGGCTTAACAGATTCTGCTGATGGAGCGGTAGATGCTGTTGCTACCACTGGTGCTGCAAACTTGGTTGGATCTGCTAAAAATTCCTTGATCTGAAAAAAAAAAGTAACAGTAAGCAAGTTGTGGGACGTAATATGCCAAAATACATAAAAATATGATAATTAATGAACTTGGGAAACAAAAAAATTTGAACCTTTTCTGCCTCCTTCATCTCGATGTTAGCTTCCACAGCAATAGCTAATAGATTTTTGAATGCATTTGCTATGGAATGCGGTATTGATGCAAGCGTCGGATGACCAATAGCCAAAGACACTGCCGCGACATTTTGCACACCTTTCAAGAACTTGGCACGAATATCATCCGGTGTCATATCGAGAACTTCCGGTGCAAAAACAGTCCCATTCTCATAAACCTTTGAAAGAGCATTTTTACACATTACTGATAAAAAAGTTTCCAACCTACTAACAAATGCTATTATTTGAAATAAACAAATAGGAGAAATGATCAAATTGCCTCCTCACAAAAGCTTTCAAAGTATTATAATTCCAATTAAGTTCCACACCTGCCGCACAACAAGACCGTAAGAAAACGGCATAATGTTCAGCATATTCAAGAGAGCGGACTCAGAAGCTCCCACTTTCTCGCCAGTCTTGATTAAATGTACTTCGTTGAGAATTTCAATAGTTCCACGAGAAATCTTTGTTGGGATTTGTAAAGCTTGGAAAAAAGATGTTTTCTCCGGTCCCATACCAGTATTCTGAGGTGGTAACTTGACATCACATGGTGCAATGGCACCAGCCTTAGCAGGAGCACCCTGAAAGAACAAAATTCATCAACGCCTATTCATAACGAATTCCATAAAAATTTCAGTAAAAGTACAACATATAAGATAATAGCAGAAGTCCCTTCCCATCGGTATGAAACTTTTCGTACTCTTGAACCTACTATACATTCGGAAAGTATCTCAGAATCTTACACGTCGATTTTCCAATAATTTAGCTCGAATTTCGCTCAGATCACCATTGGTAAAAACGAATCCAACGTTGCCAACAATGTGCGGTAGAAGCTTTTCGAGGTCTGGATTGGTCTGTAGATGACCACGGATTGCCTTCCGAATCATAGTGTTCTTACCCATCAAAATGTCTGCATGACCTAAATCCTAATCATTAACTTGCCAGTTCAGAAAGCTCATAATGTGCTACTATTGTGAAGGTTAAATGATAACATCACCTCTCATGGCTTGACGAATTTCTTGCATTTGCTTTGAGCCAACATTATCCACCCCAACAATGAAACATTTTGGATATTCCTCCAACAATTCCACAATTTTTACGAAATAATTCGCTTTCCACGTTGCTTTGTCTTCCCTGCCCATCTTCGTGAGACAAGGATCGTCCTAAGCCTCTTTTATGAACGTTTTAAAGACCTGAAATACTTTGGGAAAAATAATGAACTGATAAAACAGAAGTCTCTAAAATAAATATCTAATCCTTCTGAAGGAAGAGCCCAACAACAGGCAAGCACATCCCACCTGACTAACCCACCCAATTCCCAGACAACCCCACCATCACTGTGCCTACAGACCACACATCACTATAAACGCGTAAACCCAAATTTCATTGCAAGAAGCACCGTAATCGAACAATTGGCACATGAGTAATGATGTCTATAACAGCACAAAATGGAATTATAAAGAGTAGTTTTGAATTTTTTTACAATTAAAATTTTATTTTACTCTTTTAATTGCATCCTTTTGAATCCTTTTTTTCTTAATTGGCATACTTACAATTTGCTCAATGTTATATGCAAAGAAGCATTTATTAGAGATTATATTACTGATTTAATTGTACTTTTTTTTTTTAAATTTTTTTTTAGACGACTACTGAATGTCAATGAATGAATGAAATTCGGAAGTAATTCCGTTCTGTTTTTTTATCTTACGATTATTCATTGTTCAACTGATAGTCAATGATCAATCAAGAAACAGAATAGATTGCTCTCAACTTTTCATTTCTTTTGTAACACTGAAAGATTGCAAGTGAACGGAGCAATTGAGGTAAAATGAGCAAAGTACAGAATGTGATTGCTAGAATGAGAGCAGTTGGTTAGCTATTAACATGGTTCAGCTTTAACAAATATAATTATTTTTGTTTCAGAATATGGTATATTTCATAAATAAAACTTCAATGACAACTTTTAATAAGTCATTTGAGTATTATCAACAAATTTAAAACAATTTTAAGATATTTTGCATAGAAGTAAAGAAGCAAAAGAAAAAAAAAATCGGTGGAGAGTTTAAGAATCGATGAATTGGAATGAAAAAATTCTACTGCTTTTTTTTTTTCTTGTGCAATCCTAGTTCCATTCTGGCTCATAATTTCAATTTCACGGAGAAGAAGCCTATCGCTGAATTTAAATTATTTTAAATAGATATAATTATATTTTTAGAAATTATGAAAAAATGATTTTTGAAATTGTCAATGGATAAGGAAGGAAATAATGATAACAGATGATTAATCAACTGTTTATTTAATTGTTGAAGTAAAACAGAATTAAGTTTATTCCAAATGCCATTTCCAAATAAAATTTGATATGAATTTTTTGATATTTTTTCTTCTTCAAAATGAATTAAATCTTATTCCAGATTAATTCAATGTAATGTTCATTTATATATTTTGTAATGAATAAATTCAAAAATTACTCATTATCAACTAGGATTAATGAAGAAATTTTGACGTTAAATTTTACATGAATTAGCTATGATGACAAAGTTTAAAAAATATTTTAGTTTAGTTTTTATTTTTGTTACGTTAATGATAATATGCCATAGAACAAATCATCATTTAAAACCATCTGTTAATCTTTTCTTGAAAATACTAACAAATGCTTTCGAGAGGCGACTATTTTGTCGTTTATCATTACACTATGTGATTTTTTTTTTTTTTTTTCTTTTACACTTTTTTGCTTCCCAAAATTCTCTATAAATACGAGAAGTGAACAATTTAATGCTACTAAGGTATTCACAAATGAGAAGCATTTCGTTTATGCTAAAATCATTTTGCTACTTTCTTATATTGTCTCTACATTCTTTCATAATTTCGTGAAAATTATTCCAAGAAAGATTTACCTTTTAATAAAATTCCATTTCAATTATAATTGCACACACTGTTGAATTTTTTATAATTTTGTGCTATTCATTTGTATAGGAAATTATATGTATAAGATTAACTGAAAATCATTTTTGATATTAAATTCTATTTTGTTTTAGCATCGATTTAAATGAATACAACACAATAAAAGTATTTATCAAAGAGTTTAACAAGAATAAATCTACATTTATATGCTTTCCTTATGCAAAACTACCAAAATATAGTGAAATTTAGAAATGTGTTGTTGTAAAAATTTCAAATTTTTTCCAAAAAAAAATTTTTTTTTTTTGATTTTTGTAATTTTGAGATTTCTCAGTGTAAATTAATGAGAGAGTAAAAATCGGAAAAAAAGAAAAAAAGGAAAATGAGAAGGGTTCTAACAGAACATAAAGTAACTTTCATAATTTTTATGAACTGTCAAATTTTAAACTTTACTTTATGTTGAAGAAGTTAATTAGTTACAGTACCACTTGCTAGTGAGAACTGGCAAATGATACTTAACTGATCCAAGTTCCATCTTTTATTCAAACTTATTTCATCAAAAATTTATTTACCATTACCATTACCTGTTATCTGCATTAAATCGCATTAGTTATACAAAAATACTGTTTATGCTTCTTCTTAAATTAATCTAATTAGCAATTAATTCATTAATTTTAAGTTTAAAAGTAAAATTAATCATTTTGCTTTTATATTGGCATATTGTAAAAGCTCGAAACGAACATTTCGCTTTTTAATTTTTAGCAATGATTGTCATTAATAAATTTCTTGTTTCGTTGAATTCATTTCTCAATTGAATTAGAGTGAAATCATCAAAAAACTTCAGATAAATTACTAAAAATGGCGGTGCCAGCAATTCGTCTTTCGAGCGGTATAAAAATGCCAATCATTGGTTTAGGAATGTGGTTGGTTCGTCCTGTTATCCTTCTTTTTTTTTTGAGCAATTTCTTTTAAATTTCTAATTAACAGTACATTTTTCACAAAATCTAAGAAGTGCCAACAGTTTTTTTTTTCTTCTTTCTTTTTTTTTTGAAATGACATTGATTCTCTTTTGAAGCATTATTATTTTTCAAAAATATTACTCAAGTATTGAGAAGTATTAGTTGAAAATTTAAATGTGAAATTTTAGTCCAAACCCGGTGAAGCATCTGAATCAGTTCGATATGCATTAAACAATGGTTATCGACTAATTGATACAGCTGCTTGTTATTTTAATGAGCAAGATTTGGGTAAGGTTTTAGATGAAGAATATATCAAACCTGGTAAACTAAAGAGAGAAGATGTATTCATTACTACAAAGGTAAATTTTATCATTTTTATATCATAGATTATCATTTTTATTTTATGTTGATCCAAACCTTTCTTCGATTTTTTTTTTTTTTTTTCAAATGCACAAAAGAACGAAAACGAAATACTAAATCAATTATCTTCAAAAAGTTTAGCTTTTTATTTTCCTTCCAAATTATCTTTTATTGTATTTAGTAAATATAAAATTTTCGCAGTTTACAATTTTTGTAATTATATTGATTTCATTTCTTTGTATTATAGAATTTTTAGCTAATAAGAAGTTAAAGTTTTAATTATTTATTGATGAACTGTTAATAGCAAATTGTTAATTGTTCTAAAAACATAAACATTAAGTGCAGAACAAGTAAAACTTACTTCAAATTGAAAATACTTCTTCACATAACAATACTTCTACATGCACTGTTAAAAAATATTTTGAAAACAAAACTTAACTTTTGTTCAACAAAAAAAATGAAAAACGAAGGTGTCAGAACTTAAGTTTGCTTTTCAAAATATCTTTAACAATTCATACAAAATTGAAATAATTTTAAAAATGAAATATTCCTAAGCAACAATTTACAATTATTTTGATTATTTTGCAGTTATGGTGTACACATAATCGTGCAAAAGAAGTAGAAGGACAATTATGTCAATCGTTGGAGAAATTACGAACAAATTATGCAGATTTGTATCTCATTCATATGCCAACTTCTTTTGATGTCAGTTTCTAATTATTAAGTTAACTTCACTTTTAAATTTTTAACTTATTTCATTTGAAACTTTATCTGATTCAAAAATTTTAAGCAATTTTAAACTTCCAGTTTTTATTAATCTGTCCAAATGAAAATTGCACGAAAATTAGTTCAAATCAAATTCGATATTTCGAGAAAAGATTCTGTTGCTTTCATTTTTTTTTTTTTTACAGCATGAAATGAAGAAACCGGATACCTCAGATTCATTGGAAAAGTTGTGGACTGTTAGTTTACTGTCATTTTATCAATTTAATTCATTTTATAACTTTGCTAGTTTTTAAAAATACTAAAAATTAGGAAGTTGTTGTGATAATTTGTACGAGATGGAAATTTTATTTCTTTTATAGGGTATGGAAGGCGTATTCAAAAAAGGTTTGACGAAAGCAATTGGTGTTTCAAATTTTAGTATTAATCAAATTGAAAGAGTGCAAAAGTCAGCGTCCACAAAAATTCACAACGTTCAGGTTAAAATTTATGTTAAATTTGTAAGATTATTGCTGCTTAAGATGACAATGTGAAAAATTTTATCTTTTGGATGGAGAAAAAAAAAGCTTTTCAAAATTTTCATTTCATTTAATTAATAGTTATTTAATTAAAATTTAATTAACACAACCTTTAAAAAAACATTAATTTCTGTTAAAATACTTATGAAATCAAAAAATGTATTTTTGATTCCATAAAGATTTATTTTTTCGAACTTTGTGTAACTTACAGGTAGAATGTCACCTGTATTTTCCACAATTTGAATTACACGAAGTATGCAAAAAGCATGGTATCTCATTAACAGCATATGCACCACTTGGATCACCTGGACGAGTTGATTGGGAAGTTCCAAAAAGAGGGTAAGATTTCTGAAAATTGAAGAAATAATTCCAAATTTTATAAAGTAAAGTTGTATTTTTGTTTTGAAACTTTCACTTAATTTATTTATTTGTTATTAGTAATAATAATAATAACTAAAATTTACCATTTAGGAAGATGCAATGGGCAGAGGCAAAAGCAGTTTTGGAAGATGAAATAGTGAAAAAACTTAGCAAAAAATATGGGAAAACTCCAGCTCAAATATGTTTGAGATACCTTATTGAGCGTGGCATTTCTGTTATTCCAAAAAGTGTCAAGGAGCATAGAGTCAAGGAGAATTTTGATGTATTATCAATTTTATCAAATTTAAATTTTTTTTTTTATCAGATTTTTTATCAAACTGAAATATATTAAATTAACAGATTACCTAACACAAATTAACACTCTCAAGTAATTCTTGAAAGTAAATTATTCCTTCTTTTATCAGGTATTTGATTTCAAACTTACCGAAAGTGAAGTGGAAGAATTAAAAAATGTCAAGAATCGTCAACGTCTTTTCTTTTTCGATTAGTAAATTTTTTAAATTATTTTAATGATTATTTTACATCCTGTATATTTTTGGTTTTTTAAAATCTTCAAATAAGTCAGCAAATTGTTTGTTTAAAATAATTCAAAAATTTATTTCAAATATTCAACTGATAAATTTATTTTTCAGCATGATCAATCATCCGGAAGATCCATTTAAACATGAGCGCACATGAAACTGTCATTGAAATTAATTAATATTAGCATTAGTGTTTACTAACATTTGATATCAAATATTTTTTGTCATAGTTTTTTTCCACTTCTTTTTTAAATTTTTATTAGATCTAATTTAATAAATGATTTTCTGATTTATCCTTGTGCTATAGCAATCATTGCTTTACATCTCGTATTTTGATTATGAGAAGAAAGCAACTATATATCAAAAATATATTTCAAATATCAAATCGAAATTTTGATGAATGATATTTTTGCTGTAAATTAAAACAATAAGTAGCGAAATTTTGTTGATAGGAAATTTTTGTCTTTATTATTTACACATACAATAACAGCTTTTTAAACTGCAATAGCTCCAGCAACATAAATATTTGTTAGACATATATTGGAGAACTAAATTACCAGACAGAATATTTATTATTTTATTTTAATATTAGTTCACTAAAAACGGTACCTAAAGAATTTTAATTGAGAACAGTTTTGGCACATCGAGCGGATTAGCTCCAATTTTCTCATTCGAAAGATGAAATCTGCCACATGCCAAATTTTACAAAAGTGAATATATCAGTGATAAATAAATATTTACAAATCACTGGCTCATTCTTTTGAGATTTCAGATTGTAATCGAATGTGATTTTTGATTTCTGCTGCTTTAGAAATTTTCAAATCCACAAAAACTATTATAATTACTATTATAATTCAAATATATTTTGAAAAACTTATTTTATTAAATTTATTCAATGCTTAAAATTTAATTAAAGCTGTAATGCATATAAGTATGAATAGCAAAATTATTACTGAATTTAAATCATTTTATCATAAACCAATGATCAGTTCATTAGACAAGAGATTTTGGAATTAATAAACACATACAAAAAAAAAAAATTAGTTTATCAATAAAGTATGAATCAAGATATATGGACATACGAGAACAATAAGTGAGTATAGTCATGGCACTTTTAATGAGCAAGTTTTGTTCAAAAAAAAAAAAAAGAAGAAATCATTTGAAAAGCTTAAATTTATTAAATTTCTGATTGATTCATTTCGTAGTATAAACCTTTCTCCTCCATAAGTTCCTGATGTGTACCTATAAAAAAGATACTAATAGTGTAAGGTAAGCAATATAGGGTAAAACTATTCCAATTCTTAGTAGTATCTATACTTCACATAATCTTAATACAAAGCAAAAAAAAAAAAATACTTATTTTAAATAAGTTTAGTAAAAGTAAACCTTGTTCAGCAATTTCACCATCAACTAATACATAGATTTTGTTTACTGATCTTATGGACGATAAACGATGCGCCACTGAAATGATAAACAAAATTTTTGTGGATTTAAGCACACTCACATTCTATCAGTAATATTTATCATGCATTTGATCATCTCTGTCTAACGTTTCTTTTTGAAATTACAAAATTGAATACAACAAAAACTTTTATGCTCATTTCAATTAAAAATTTATTGCCTAGTTGTTTTCTTTTCTTTACATTAGACTAACCGTAAATACAAGTACAATTCTTGCTGACTGATTCGAGAGCACTTTGCACTGCCTATAAATTAACGAAGATATTTAAAATTATAAAATGTTCGTAAGCCCTTTTATATTCTCGAAGAAAATTTCACTCACTGCAATTTCTAAAATAAAAAAACAATCGAAAGTAGATTGAATAAGTGCAAAATTTCCATCAAACCTTTTCACTTGCTGTATCGAGCGCAGCAGTCGCTTCGTCGAGTAGCAATACCCGCGGTTCTCGTATTATCGCTCGAGCGATCGCAATCCTCTGCCTCTGACCACCAGAAAGTTGAGCACCAAATTCTCCAACCTCGGTATCATAACCCCAGAATTGCGTTTATTAATTCAAGAACTATTTTATATCAAATGCATAATAACAAAATGAATAAGTGTCAACTATCATTCATTTTTTTTTTTAATTCTTACTTGTGGCAATGATAAGATAAAGTCATGAATATTTGCAATTTTAGCTGCCTCTATGATTTTTTCTTCAGTTGCTTCATCTTCTGGCAGGCCATACCCTGTAAATATAATACACTTTGAAATTTTTTCTTTAATTAGAAATTAATTTAAAAAATAAAAAACAAACGAAATTTGCTTTGCTGAAGCTATTTATTTATCTTTTATTTAATACCATGACAGCATTTCAAATAAAAATTACTGCATTAAAGAGCAAATGCAATCAATGAAGAACGAAATGCTAATAACCTTTAATTCTTTTTTTTTTTTTTTTTAATAAACAAATACAGAATTTTTTTTATACAAAAAATTATTTTCCTGAATTTCTATATTCCAGATAAAATATTTTATCATATATCTGAAAAAATTGTTTAATTATTCAGTCTTAATTGAATAAGAAAAACGTCTATTAAAAATTAAAATAATATTCACCAATATTTTCGCGAATTGTAAATGAAAAGAGAATTGGTTCTTGTCCAACCGAAACAACAACACGTCTTAGGTATGCTGGATTGATTTGTTTTACGTTATAATTATCAATGAGCTGAAAATTTATGTTCATTGAAAGAATTCTTCTTTTTTTTTTTATTAAATTAAATTATTCACAATAAAATTTTATAGATGAATCGTACCACTTCGCCTTTGGTTGTACTATACATACGTTGAAATAGTGCTAAGATAGAACTTTTCCCAGAACCTGATGGACCAACGATAGCTATTGAATCACCTGGTCGAACCTAAAATACTGATTTGATAGTATAGTATTTTAGTATTTCAATGCTTCTCTTCACTTTTGGTAGATGATTTAAAAAAGCTCTGCTTTTTGAACATTATAAGAAGAAAAAATTAAAATTAATTTAATGATAACAAATCAAATCGTACTTTTAATGTAAGATTACGAAGTACAGGATAAAGTGGTCGAGATGGATAACGAAATTCCACATTCTTTAGCATTAATCGAGCGGTGGTTTTCTAAAATAATTTTTCAACTGCTTTTTATTACTTATTTGATAGTATAGTATATCAGCTGGAAAATAAACTGCTTAAAAATGATTTAATGATTCGTTTTCATTATGAACAGACTACAAACGACTCTAATCGTTCTCGAAGTTAATCGAAAATTTGAAAATATTTAACGCTTACTCTAAAAGAAAAAAAAAATTCAAATTTCTAAATTAACCGGTCGCAGTCCCTCATCGCTTAGATTATTCATGTCAACGGCAGTTTCCTTAATGACATTGAGAATGTTTCCTGATGCTACGCGTGCTTTTGATATATCATTCACTGATGCTATCAATTGACTGATAAAATTAGCACCAAATTGTGTCAATAATACCACCCTGAATTTGACATTTTTAAATGTGTGACAGTGTTATTTTATGAATAAATGTATACTAAATTTACTAATATTTCTAAAATTATTAGTAATTGAAAGTAAAACATTCTTTTCTAATCGATAACTAAAATTTGACTTTTGCGCATTTCCTTAAAAACAGAATAAATATTTCAAACCTCAAATAATTAAACGGTGTAATTTCATTACTTAACATCATTACTTTTCCAAAATGTAACGTTATTGCAATGAGAATATAAGTGAAAGAGAATTGACATGCAAATACAAATGAGCTAATGCAAGACTGTCTTTTCATCGTTCTGAAAACATCTGAGAATTACATTTAGCAAAATATACAATAGTAGCTGTTTTATTCTAAATTACTATAACAAATTTTATCAATTTACTTTTGTAGAGGTTTCAGCGTTTCGTAGAAAATACTGTTGAAATGTTCCTGCAGAGTATAAGCTTTAATTGTACTCATATTTGATAATACAGCGGTTGCTAGCTGAAAATAATTGAAATTTATCAATGAAATAGCACACTGATATAATTTTACTAGCAAACAGATATATATGATAATTAATGATTAAAAAATATCAAACATTAGCAGCTTTTTTTTCCTGTTCGGCCATTTGTCGCTGTCGCTTACTTGTTTCTCGTAATTCGACCAGACGAAAGATGAAAAAAGCTGGAAATTGAAAACCGCAAATGAGTGCTAATTTCCAGTTTATTAGTAATGCAATAGTAACTGATACTGTGGAACATATAACTGCTGGAAGAAGCAAATCCAATTTATCTCCAAGTGTCTGAAATTAAAAATGATAACATAATATGATCGTTGTTCAGTAGAAAATCATATAATATCATGAATAAATTAAATTCAAATATGAACGACTGATAAGTTATTGCAGTATTATTGTGGTGAGACATCCTATAGGCTTGATAAATGAGCATGATCATCTTTCATCCATCTTATCACAAAATGCATGAGTTATAACGGATGAATTTGATCACTCTGTTAAGTGTCGCAGTGTCAGACATCAATTTATGAACCAATCTTCCAGGTGTATTAGCTTCTTCATCAAAATAAGCTGCACCATGTCTTAGTATCTTTCGAAACATTTTGTTCCGCAAATATCCACAAAAGCCATTTCCATACAGTGCAATAAATAAACGCTACAAATATTTATGAATTAATACATTATGAATAATAACTATTGCATGTTTAGCTCAACAGTGATGCAATAAAATACATTTAATTAATCAAATTTGAAATTTTGAAGACCAGTAAAGTGGTGAATTATTTTGAGATTTAATTAAAATTTGTTAAAATTAAGTTAATTTAATAATACCCCAACTGCCTCGAACATTGTTTTAATAATGATTAGAGCTGTATAAACTGCTGCTGTGATAAATACCTGTTGAGCCGTTTCTTCATTTGAAACTAATGCTATCTACAAAAATAATCTTTAAATTTATTGGATAATTTTGAAATGAATGGAAATTAGTTATGAAGATAAATAGCTATTAGAAAAAAAAAGACATTCGCATTTGAATAGATCATTGAAAAAAAAAAGAACTGAAAAAGAAAATATAATAAAAAGGTAGAACAAAATAAACTGACCTCAAGTACAGATGAAACTTCGAAACAAACAAGCAGAAAAAAAAATCCTCGTAGTATGGTTACTGGAAC